AACGAGACGTTTAGGTGACCGATTGTAGTCGATGGACGAATGATTGTTGAGATACGTGTGAGCAGTTAATAACTCCAGCCATTAAGCTACGGGCATATATTTTGTCCAAACGGACGGAGAGCGCCTGGCCAGATACGGGGCATCCTGACAAATATTCCGTGTCAAGCCAAGGTGGCAAAATCGTGTCCGCTACACATGGTGTCAGAAGTGGGATAGCTGATGGTGTGGAGTGGTAGAGCTGACAGAGCTGGGGGACGACGGCAGTAGCACTGACGGAGCTGGGGGACCATAGGCAGTAAGTCTGACGGCGTCATCACAAGCTGGTATAGCTGACGGAGCTGGGGGACGGCAGGCAGTAAGACTGACGGCGTCACAGCTGGTTGAGCTGGGGGACGACGGGCAGTAGGTCTGACGGTGTCACAAGCTGGTAGAGCTGACGGAGCTGGGGGACGACGGGCAGAAGGCCTGACGGCGTCACAAGCTGGTAGAGCTGACGGAGCTGGGGGACGACGAAGGGCAGTAGGTCGTACGGCGTCACAGCTGGTCGAGCTGATAAAGCTTGGGGGCGACGTGCAGTGAGACTGCCGCGTCACAGCTGGTCGAGCTGAAGGAGCTTGGGGACAACGGGCAGTAAGACTGACTGCGTCACAGCTGGTCGAGCTGACGGAGCTTGGGGACGATGGGAGGTAGCATTGACGGTGTTGCAACTGGTCGAGCTGACGGAAGTGCGGAACGACAATGGAGAGAAAGAACAATGAGCCCAGGGATGCTGAGAAGGAAAGGAAACGAACTAACTTTTGAACAGTTGAACACTTTTGGAAAGAGCCATTTTGAACTGTCAGGAAAGACTTTAGTTTTGATTTGTTTTGATAACATGTTATGATTTGTTGTTGCATAAGTTATAGATAAGTTAGCTTGGGGACCAAGCTTGGGAGGGAAGGGAATCGTGTAACAAATCAGGGTTTTAGTATTGGACGAAGGTTAAGCATTTTCTGTTGTACGAGCATGCGCTATAGCAATATGGTGCATCGTTGATTTAGCAATTACCAAACTGAAGGAAAATGAGCATAAATTACATATTTTGATCATGTTGGTGCAATTATCATGTTTCTTTTGGGGATATTACTTGTATAGTAGTAATCTAATCAGGAATAAGGGGTTATACCGAAGATTATATGTGAAGATTTTATGGGATTAGCAGAAATATTGTGTTGAAGTGTTGTTTTACTAACGAGGACATAATTGTTCTTTTACACGTTTATGTATAGGGAAATTGTTACGATGGTCAGGGTTGTGCATCTAGGGCTTTCCACTGCACTGTATCCGATACAGGCCAGCCTCACCGAGGCTGGCCTGATAGTTGGCCTGATAGTTGGCCTGATAGTTGGCCTGATAGTTGGCCTGGCCTAAGCTTCTAAGCTAAGTCTCACATAGTTTGCACTGTACTTGTACTGAGTTTACCCGGTTGTTGAATGGATCGCAATAAAGACTTTCAACCTACACATCATGATTGGTTTGATTTCTTGGAGCAGTGAAACCAAGGGACGAGAACCTGTGACAAGTGTTGACAAGGGAAATTGATTGTTCGAAGGATGCTCAATTGATTGATGCTGTGAACGAGACGTTTAGGTGACCGATTGTAGTCGATGGACGAATGATTGTTGAGATACGTGTGAGCAGTTAATAACTCCAGCCATTAAGCTACGGGCATATATTTTGTCCAAACGGACGGAGAGCGCCTGGCCAGATACGGGGCATCCTGACAAATATTCCGTGTCAAGCCAAGGTGGCAAAATCGTGTCCGCTACAATATTCTCAATCGCCATACCAACTTTCAAAATCGTCGGGGGAGGGAGAGGGTGGTGAAATAAAAAATATATGGCGACAGGCTTGTCACACTCACAGTTAAGTTATTTATAGTGAAGTACATCTTGATGAACTTCTAAATCTAGACAAGCATAATCAATACGCTGAGAAATATTAGAACAATATTGGATGTCCAAAAGGGTCGACAAAGCGGGCGGAAAACAACGTGTTATGGAGCTCCGAAGTAGGCTACCGTATATAAATGGGCCTGGCGAGACTGAAAAGAATCCTGCAGTTGTCCCTGTCTACTTGGACCTAGCAGCTACGATTCATTACGTGCTTGGTCCAACTGTTATTCTAATGACACTTAGGCCTTATCATGTTGAGTCAGCTAAACTTCTCGATTTTTCTTCAAATAACGCACAGATATCTTTTTGACTTACCAAAGATTGATGATGAACCGGAACCGTAACCCTCCTTCTAAACTTCATTAGGCATTGCATAACTTCAATGATGATGGCATATCCAGAAACTGATCAACAGGAGGCGGCTTCCCCTCCAGATGGCCTACAGAAAGCTGTATTTTTCCCCAGGCAGCAGAGTACCACAGTGGCACACAACATGTTGGCACAGTTACACTGCAAATAAGTTAAGTAAAGCTAAAATAGATCTTGGACCTTCACACCACTGACCTCAGTGCTTCACACCTGCTGGGGATGTATGTATGATACGCCGGTTCCGTTCTATGAAGTGCTCCATTGTAATGAATACCTCACTGTAGAGAAATCTTCTGTCGCTGCATGATGGAACCAAGGAACTCCTTGAAGGAACTGTGGCATTACTTTAGTCGCACGATGCTAAAGTGCACTAGCGCCACTTTGCCTTTAAATGTATAAATTGTCTATATCCTACGCTGATGTCGTCTGGGGTAGAAGGTTTCAATTGTTCTTGGATAAATCACAAAAGGGAAAACGATAACAAGTCTTGTTGAATAGGGTATATATCGGTCACGAAATGTGGGGTCCAGTCGTCTGACTTTATACACCTTGTGAAGAACGTGGGTGCTTCGTGAGAAAACGTTTACTACTTTGAAAAATCGAGATTAGCAACAGTTTGGAATGACATTTTAAGGTGGTTTCCATAATTCCATTGAAGACCGGGGAGCATGATGTAGACACCTGACCCTATAGTAGACTTCCTACCAAGTGTGTTTAAAAAATAAATAACACTGGGTGGTGGGGGAGGGGGGTGCGGGCGGGCGTAGGCCTACTTCATGATTGTATGCAGCTCATTCCTAAAATTTAAGCAAATCGGCCAACATTTCTTTGTGTCACTTTCCTAAATCACCACAGATGTTCGAACAATATGATTTCACAACCTTTTATAACTATTAGCTGTTGCCATTTCAAACCTGTCAGAACCTTGCCAAATTATCGGTCATGGCATTATGTAATGGATTTCAGCCGTATGTGCGGTAACGAAAGGAAAAGTATATATTTAAAACAGCGTTTTTCAAAGTTAGTTTATGCAATTACATTATACATAGTACATTATACAAAATACAGAGGAACTTATATGAATTCTCAGTTTCTCTAAGATATTTTTTACAATACAAAATCGGGATGGACTAAACTTTGTATTTACCGCCTCCCCCCCCCCCAACCAACTGGAAGATTTAAGTTCCTACAATTTTTTAAATATTTGCCCTTTTTTATATATAGCTGCTGATTCAGCGGATTGTATTACGCTAAACTAAAACAGCATACGAAAAGTCATTGTAGAGGTTATAATATGCACATTATTGTAATTTCTTTTCTCCCACTCTCTGTATTGGATAGCTATATTAAAATACACACAGGGCCTATATTGTCTGTTACAGAATTACAGTACTATTTAGTGTACCGCGTGTAATACAGAATTACACTATTTGAATAACTAGCCAAATACATGCAAGTAAATCAATATCGGAGTGAGATGGGCATCGGAAATGGAATTGCGGGCTTGGATATAAAGGACTGGGAATATAATATAGTCAATAGAGAGAATATGAGAGGTTCATAAATGCAGGAGAAGAAAGGGCACGGCTGCAAAACTTCAAAAATTGCAAAGTGGATCAATTGGGACGCGGCTGGTTGAGCTCTTGATAAGATTGAGAAACAAAAGCTTTCAGGATGAGAAGCCAAGCCATTCTTGAAACGAGACGAGAGAACTCTAAATTTGATGCTTATGAATATGATAACATGAGAGGTTCATGTCTCCAAATAATGAAGAGGGTCTGAAAGGAGTGGTATCGGGAAGATGTAAGCTACATTAAGGAGAAACTGAGATGGGTAGTTAAATATGGAAGGAGACATGAAGAGATGCACAGAAGTGTGAAATGTCCCAGTCACGTCAACGGGACCGACCCCAGACCGAACAAGATTTGTATGACCACGACTGGCTAAGATTCGATCGGTGTGGAATCATTTTGGCGGTGTGACCAGGTGAGGTATAACTCTGTATATTAATACCCCTGTTACACCAACGAGACCGACACCATACCGATAATAGACTGAACCAAAAATTACAATATCAAGAATCTGCCGATCGGGAGTCGATTAAGCGGTGTGACTGAGGTATTAGGAGAAGTGGAGAAATAAGAAAGGAGATATGGGAGCAAACCACTTCATCATGATGTTACGGACAAAATGAGATTCTTTAGCATAGCAGGACTGACGTCACAACTATGTCAGAATTAAACTAAAGGGGAAGTGTAACAACGCCACTATTCCCAGTAGGGACTTCCATGTTTCATATTTCATTGAAGTTGATCGAGTGTGCGACCAAGTTCCCTTTGAAAAATAGAAGATTAGAACCACACACAAAAAAGAGGTCAAAATTCTTCAGATGTATTGTATTTATACAAATATGGATATAAAGAAATACAAATAAAAATAAATAAAAATAAGATGAATGGAGTTGTTGTTTGAAATGGATTCCAAGTGTACTGTAGGCCCTAATTATAATCACGTAATGAGTGAAGCAGCCTTGAATTATAAAACGGCAGTGAAGCTCAGTCTGATAAATTAACGTGCCAAGAAGGTCCCGAAGCTCTATTGAGGGAAAGCCTAAGGGAAATTAGGTAAAAGTCCGTCATCGTATTTAGGTTACTGAACCACAATAGAAAGTACACAAAAACAAAAATAGTCTTCAAATCAAGGGATATTGTGAATATCTTTATTAAAATATCAAAATAAACTATATACAGCATGAAGTTGACAACTTATAAAAACGCACCAGTGTATGCATTCTGCTATTGTGTTTTCCTTTAAAAATTAAGTTAAGGTTAGATTTAATAAATAGTTTGAAGCTCTGTATTCAGTCACTTTTTAATTTAAGGAAAATCGGATTACAATGATCCTTATTTGTACAATATTACAAATCACTCTAAAAACCATCATGCGAGCAACTTGTAATGCATCTTTCACATGGCATGTTAGACATGGCTTTTTATAAATCACCTGTGCAGAAGAGTTTAACCTTAAAGCTTCACTTTCTTACCATTTTAAATCAAGGGAAAGTTGGATTATGAAGATCCTTTCTCATACCATATTACGAATTGGTAACTCTATAAAATCACCATAACTTGTAATGTATATTATGCATAATATGTAAGAAATAGCTTTTTATAAATCACTTGTGCATCCAAAATTCAACCTTGAAGCGCCGTATTCAGTCCCTTTTTATAGGATTACAATGATCCCTGCTCATACCATATTACAAATTGGCAACTCTATAAAATCATCGTTTGAGCTCCATCGTCATGAATATTGTGCATAAAATAGTTAGATGTGGCTATTTATAAATCACTAGTGCATAGAAATTTCAACCTCTTTCAAATTGTATACTAGTGCCTTCCTTATGCAATAAAACATAAATATTTTTGATTGACTACAAAAAATGGATATACATGTAAGTGAATTTTCATAAATGTAAGTGGGATAAATTGAATGTGACATCGTACCATGTAGCCAATGTAATATGTACAGGTTAGCAACAAGGAATCTCTATTGAAAATACATACATTTTAAACAAATAAATACAAATTAAATGATTTCATTTAATCTGTTTTTTTTTTCCAACCATGAATTGATCATATTCTATCATTTTACAATATATCAACAAAAGCTTCTATGTGAAATGGTGTATTTAGATACACGCAAAGTAAAAAACAAGTCTTTCTTCAATATTACATACACTGGTACCTTTCAAGTCATTGACATCTTCATAAAAATATTGCACTTATAGAGATTATTTACAATTTATGTTATATAGCTTTGTAAAAGTAATATTTGCACATGACTGCAAAAGATAAGAGAAGCATCCTTTTTTTGGTAATCAGGTGTTTACAAAATATACTGCATACATTGAAGAGGGATCAACTAGAAATGGAAGTTGGCAAATTCCTTTTATCGTATTACTGATCACAATCTTTGGATTCGTCAAATTGAGAATAAATCTCTAAGTGCTCGCTGCACCTACTGAATGTCGAATATTTTGGAATGTCAATTAGGAATTAAAAGTAATAACGGGATTCGCCAAGGATTTCAAACTTGGTGAGAAACCTGAGCACGGCAGATAAACACAAACACGCAATACCCCATGATGAATTATGAGTGATGGCAAATTTTTAAAAAAAATCTTCGGCTTTGCCATTAAAGGTAATCTTAAGCTCTGATAACGGTGGAAAACAAATTCTCGCAGAATCAAATGGAATTTACACTGAATATTTAAGACTACAAGTAAATCTGCCAAATTATTTGTCAGATATGTATTCAAATTAGGTACAATAGATTAGCAGAATACATTAAAATGAATGCCTAAAGAGAAAGGTAACGAACTAGAGGGAGTATCCTTAACCAAATTGCAAAACACATTCCCTTTATGAGTTTTCCTTTTCTGTATTACCAAAAAGTGTTTCATTAGGTGGTCAAAGCTACCAAAACAATGTGAAAACTATTTTCTCTTGAAATGGAATCTGTTACCATGCAGAACTCAAGATTAGCTTCAAGTAGCATGTTTGATATCGGCTCTTCATTCAAATTTTGTTTACTGGGCAGGAGAGGAGGGGGAGGGAGGGGGAGGGAGGGGAGGGGGGATATGTGGGGTGAGGTTTCAAAACACCTAAGTTTTTAAAGCCGTAAAATCCATCATCCATTCTATCATTTGACACTCATTTGAATACTGGTAATTTGGGGGAGATATGAATATGAGCTATTTCAATAATGGTGAACAAACATAACAAATATGCTCATTACAGATGTAAACAATAGGCAAACTTTAGCCTTACAAGGTTGAGAAAGACATACTTAAATCCCCACCGCACTAGTTTGGCCAGGAGGGATTAGACCTCCCTGCATGGTCACTGACAGCTGATTATCTCGTCAAATCAGATCTTAATTAACATAAGAAAAAGGGGACCATGGAGGACCAACGGTCACCGCTAAGGCATTGTTTGCTATATGGAGTGCGCAAGTAGCTATAAGTAGTGCAGTGGGGCTCTAAGTAAGGTTAATTGCTAATGTCCAAAACCAAGACAAACTAAGATTCCAGGTTACATGTACTTGTTTATTTTTTATGGATCAATATGGGATGGCCGATGTTGAATATTCTCGTCTTGAATATCCATTTGTACTGAATCAGTCCAGTCTTTGGTACACGTAGCTTCAATCTTGAAAATGGTACTGGTCCAACTTGGAATGTGGGATGAGTTGCGTGGAAGATACATGGGTGCTCTTTCTATCCAGTAGAAGTGAAAGACTTTAAGGGTGATGGACGATGGTGAGGTTACTTGGCAGCAAGACTGGTTCGTACACTACCACTGCTAGCACTAAGGGCTTTGCTACCCCTCTCCAGCTGCTTGGCTGCAGCCGCCTCCGCCTCGGCCTGTGCCTGGAATTCAGCAACTCTTTCCAAGAACTGGACAAGAAGGTGAGAAAGAAAGAAAGAGATATGTTAATCACAAAATTGTCAACTGAACTTGAAAGAAAACATATCTTGTAAAAACGCAAAGGAAATAGATTGGGGCAAAATGCACTAGACTATAAAGATGTTATGGTCTAGCGGATAAGTCTTACAGCTGTAAACCAAAAGGTAGTGGATGTAAATATAGAACAATCAATGAGTGGTAATTTAACCTTGATAAATGATGAGCCAATATATTTTACATTTTGATCATTTCAAAACCTCCTAGTATAATCAATTATATGTACTACATAATCAACCTTTCCATACTGCTTCCATACAGTTTCTTTCATCAATGCAATTTTCATGTTTAGTTAGCAATTGACTGAAGGACGTGTAATCAATTAAAAACAACCTCAATTCCTCATCAGACAGGGTTTCAAACTACTGAAGGAGAAGGTTTGGTTCTGGAAAAGAAAATTATTTGAGAGCCTTATAAATAATAATAAATACAGCATTTGTTATGCGGCATCAATCTAGTAAAGTATTCTGAGGTGCAGAGAGATAGAATTAGAATGAGTTACATAGAGAAATGAGCCTTCTCATTCTTCATATGCCAGTTCCAAAGAATTTGATAACTAATGCGTCCACGGATAATTATTGTTTTTCAAATGCCCGCATATTCAAAATATGACAAGAAATAGCTGGAAAGCTTAGACGAAAATTTCATGCCACATGTGTGTAGTTTCATAAATAAATTTCTGGGTGCAGTGCATATAATATACAGGAAGACCGAGTCAATTTCAGTTCATTTTGATCAGTACAACACCTCACAGTATACATCAATTCTTACAATTCTTACCTACTCCATACTTAACCTTCCTTGATTATTTTTAGGCAGTTTCTTTTATCTTAAAGCCCCACTGCACTAGTTGGCCAGAAGGGATTAGACCTCTCTGCAAGGTCACTGGCAGGGGACCATGGGGGACCAACAGGTACCATTTAGGCATTGTTGGCTATATCTCATCAAATTAGCTCTCAATTAAGATAAGAAAAAGGGGACCATGGGGGACCAACAGGTACCACTTAGGCATTGTTGGCTATATATAGGAATGCCCACCATGGATAATAAAGAATACTTGGAGGATGTCCACTCACCTCAGGTTTCCTGGTGCCTTTCTTCTCAATGAATTCCTTGAAGGAGTGTGATCCATGGAGTGGAGCTAGCTGCTCATCCATAGCAAGGCTTTTCTTTTTAGAATCAGACATCTCTTTATCCTTCAGTGACTGTGGATCCTCAAGGGGCTGTAACAAGATCATTGTGAGGAGAAAAAAAATCAAACCATGCCCTACATGAAGCTTAATCCATTGCCGACTGATTTTGTTTCCATTGATTAAAGCTTAGTACAGGGAAAATGTCTACAAGTATTTATGGTGCATTTAAGTTTAAACATGATTGGGTATCTTTGTCTCAGATTCTAAACAAAATCCTGGATTTAGCTCATGCTACAATGATAATTATGAATCTTTAGGTCAGTCATGAACCCCCATGACTTTTACAAGCTGATCGCCTGTCTGATTATCAAGATATTTATAATTGGACATCGAAATTTCAAAATTTGTTTTCCTTACAGTTTTCATAACACTTCAGTCTTTTGGGGAAAATGAGTATGGTAAAACCGGTCACTCAAAGATTTTTACTTTTAGAGGCACTTCATAATCATTTTGAAGCGCAATTTTTTTAGGGCTTCAATGTTACACATTATCACAGACACTGATAACACGAAGGGCCATACATCTCAGATTTAACATTTTTAATCGATGCCTTTAAGCTAAGGACAACATAGAATTGCGTAGTCAATGGATTAAGTCAGTTTTTATTCATGGGATGCATAGATTCCAAATGAATCTACAATTCACAATCATAAAAATGTTTTAATTATTCATAGACATGAGGGATGATGGATTGTAGCATAAATGTTTGTTAGGAAGATTTGAGCAAGTACTTGAAAGTGATGCAGTATCTTAATAAAGCTCTACAATACAAGTTCTTTATAGAATGAAGAAATATTGATGTAGGTATAAAGCCATAGAAAATTTCATTAACATAAAAAGCACATTTGCATATTTTCTGTGGAATTTGTTATAAATATAATCCGTCAATCTTACCTCTGTAGCTGGTCTCCTTTCCCATGTCTTAGGTTTGAGGTACCAGGCTCCATAATTCATCTTCACCCAGCTTGGAGTGTAGTTTCCTGATCCATACTGCATTAAAAAAAATGTGATGAATTTCTTATCGCATACTGCATGAGAGCAATTATATAGAATAAGATTTAAAAGGGAATGAAAATAATACATATTTATCAAGGTCTTATAACCACTCAAACTTTTCTCAGAAATTTTGTTTATTCTATGGGTATAATATATTACACTTTTCTCTAATTGCTCAGTATTCTTTCTTTCATTTTGACAGAGACAAAAAGGATTTTGACACCAACAAAAACAAAGCAATTTGTTATACAAAAATATAGATTACCAATTTGTTTTTCTAAAAGGGGAATATGGAATTAGACGAGTTAAATTTCATAATGGCTGGATATTTCCCCAACAGCTTTTATTTCTCCATTCCCATTAAAAAACCTTAGCAAGTAATGGAATTTAATTCTACTCACCAATGCTTTCTGTTTCTTCTCCACTTGTTCTAGAGTTTGTGAGGGGGCCTCTTCCTGCGAAACTGTCGCCGACATCCTCAGTTCTGCAGGAACGTTTGTCAACTCGACAACATGGATGGGGACAGAGAGGGCGGGTTTGGTTTCATAACCACTGGCAAAGAGACTGTGAATCGTGGACTCCTCTACGTTATTGCTGTCCCCACCAAGTCCTGAAACCCAGTCGCAGAACTCTTTTGTGATTGATTTAATGTGTTCGTCCTGAGACGGGGAGTCCTGGCGTTTCTGCTTTGCTCTACGATCCTCCTTCTGCTGGTCTTCCTTGCGAGGCAACCATCGGTAGGGGTTCCGAACTTTCTGGCCCTGTGATGAACTGTTAACAGAAAAACAAGTATATACCATATACGGTAGGTTTTAACTTGAACTTGAACTTTTTTGGAACACCTTTTGGTCTGGTGGTGGCAAATAAGGCTTAAAAGAGTAACAAGAACAAAAACAAAAAAAATCTACATTTACAAGTTATCGGTATATACAATTGTCACTAAGTTTGTGAACACATGTTCTTTTCTAGTTACAAAAATGAGGGAAGAAAAAAGAAATTAATTGAACAAAAAATAAGGATAAATATTAAAGAAGGTGAGGTATTCTTTAAAAATATAAATAAATAAGACTGATGAGATTCTGTAAAATGCACAAGGGAAATGGTGATAGTGTGCCTCTAATTTAACTTATTTCTTTAATGGAATGTTTTCCAGTACACACACATCACATTCTAATAGCATGGACCTTGTGGCAGAGCATTCATTCTCTAAGCAAGTTATATAGAAATAAATTCTACAAACACAGTCACAGTGCACATGCCAGTTTTTCAAATTTGCATTAAAAAAAAAAACCCATTTCATCTGCCAAGAGATGGCGCAATTCCACTTCTCTTTTCTGACTGGACAATAAAAGGTATAAGCTCCTAAGCTTACTTAATGCATTTGATTGGCTGTGAGTGTATTTGATATAGGAATGTGACACTTCTTAATGATAATAAGTTTCAAAGAGCAGGACCCTGATCTTTTACTTCAAAAAGACACCGATCCTTACAATACACTGCATGTTTATGCTCCTGCAAAAACTTTGGAATTTGTTTATAAAATAAAATGCTTTTAAATTGGTTGATTAAAGTTAAAGAAGATAATGATATTATGATCACATGAGGGGATTGGAATTGCATCCAAGTTACATGAGCAATCCTGATCGTCATTTAGAAAACAAGGATAGAGCATGAACAGGATTTTGTAGGGTATTTCTTACCCAGATGATGACTTTGTTGATAATCTATCATCTTCAACCTTCTGGTCTCCTCCATACGAGTCTGTCATATATTCTCTAAATTCATCTGCTTCATCGATGTCACTGCCAAGGTTCATCTCAGGGTCAAGTATATCCACAACATCCTCAAAAACCTAGAAATAGTAATCAGAACATTAATACAAATTGGGCAAATTGGTTTATCCTTAATTATTGCATTTTGCATTTTCCTCCTGTGAGATACTTTCTGATCCCTTTCTGGACAACTGCATAAATACATGAATGTAATTATTTGTTTTTAAATGCAGACTTACCAGCTTACTTCTATTAGAAATGTTAACATTTTTGTCTGTCAACAGCATAAACCATTATGTGCCAGGAACAAGGAGAGCAGAACATGTTCAGAGGCAAGAACTGATGATGAATCCCCCTGCTAAAGCCCTTCTTCCTATTAATCTGCAGTAATTTATTAAGTGGAGTAAACAACGTAATCACAATCAATATTTGTCAATAAAGGATACACGTAGTGCACCCAAAGTTGAAAGTCACAACTGTTTTCTTTCTGAATCTCCTTGGCAGGAAAATGTGATCAATAATTCAGGCTGGAGAGGGCGATATTGAAGAATTACAATACTTATATTTAGGATGGTTTTGTGACTACTTCATATGTTGATAGGATACCAACATGAAGTCCGCAAACAGGTAGCAAAACAAATTTGGGTGATTGGTCCCATGTGAAGAAAAAAAAACAAAAAAACACCACGACTTACATCTGGAGGCATACTCTCTTCAAGATGAGGATAGAGAGCAAGAGGATGTTGAAGGAGCCCATATTCCATCTCATCGATGTGATCTCGTCTCTGCTGCTGGAGTGGTGTAACTGTGGAGAAAGCAAGCTCCTCTTTGGTGAAGCGGCCCTTGTTGACTGCTCGCCTCTCAGGGAATTTCCCTTCTGAATCTCCATGTATGTTTGGCTCCAGTGTTTTTGTACCCTGAATTGGTAACATAACAAATTTAGACAAAATTAATCAAGGTAAGAATTAAACAAATCTGTAGCGAGATAAAGAAACAAAACAATGAGTTTAATAAATCCTCACTTAAAGCTCAACATATTAATATTATCATTACATCTATCATTATTGTCATTATAATTATCATTATCGGTACAGATTTATAATTAGTGTTTTAGTTATTATTATTATTTTAATATTAATGATTGTAATTATGAGAATAATGCTGATAAAAATCATAACAATTATGGTAATAACACTGATAGATTTAATGTTAATATTAATATACTGTTATGTTGTTATCATTAATGTTTAAACTATTCTTATAATTATCATCATCATCCATATTATTATTCTCACATACAAATAAATAAAACTGTACCTACTGTATGATCATTATTTCTAGCACCTATGAATTAGAGAGAGAGAGAGTGAACATAAAGAAGAAAGTACATTCATTGTCTGAACTACATTTGAAGAAAGCAAATCAAACAAATTTACCTTGTAGACTGATTGACCATCAACCCTTGGAGGAAGGCCATCTCTAAAATCATCCAGACCATCTTGGACAAAGGTCCATTGACCTCCTTGGAGTGCTTTGGACAGGTCACCTGGCTTCCTACTTTTGAGAAATCTTGTGCGTAACCTTTCCTTGAACCTGAAAGTGGGGGAAACAGAAGTGATGTCAACGACAAAATAGAAAATCTCTTTCTCATTTTGGAGATATTTTAACCATCCGCAAGAAAGAGGAAAAGTATTGTAGGAACTAATGTCAGACAAACATTTTCATTTGAGTTCCATTGACTGTATTCAAACAGTTAAGGCCTAGAATAAAGATACATATGTAGTCTGGCCAGGTTAGGTGTAGAGTAGCGTAACCTAGATTCATACACTGCCATGATTGTACCCAAATTAGACATATTCATAATGACACCACGGCACCCAGACAATTTAACACACTCAAATCAACCTATTACCTCACAATCACAGTCACTGACTACAACGGAAATCGCTGAAAACTCATTAAAATCATCCTAAAATCCTTAATTCTGCTACCAAAAATAGGTGTGAAAATCTTAAAGACTGTGGGCCCTTATGCACGGTAATATACTAATAAGTAAACAGGCAAAAACTAGCTTGAACTTTTGAAGTTGGAAAATATGAGGTTTTGTGCCAGTTTTCTTTCATTTATCACAACCCACGACACCCAAGCAGGCACTGAAAATATCACAAGACATGTAGATCTACATGTATGTGTCTTGTTACTTCCCAATATGTCTTCTTATTTGTTTTCTTAGTAGACTATGCTTGATTATGTTCAGCCAGGTTTCTGGCCCAAACATTCAGCATAGCAATGTTGCAATTATGTGGCTCATGTCTACGTCTATGCAGACTTTTGCATGCTGTATGAATCATAGTCACTAAATCGAAAATTTCTTGGTACACAGTTTCTAACTGATGAATATTTTCTTTTAATCCCACTAGCAAGTTTTTTAAGTCTTCTAGGCCTACGCGGACACGCCACAAATTCGCCACAAACTCTCATTCATACCTCAAGCAGCCAACCATACACCAAATATCACATATGGGACCACACTGTACAGAACGCACTTTTAAAATGTATGTTTTCTCACCATTCCTGACTTTGAATCTTCTTATCGCTCAGTGTCTGTACGAGTAGCAAGTCATATTTCCTTTCAGCCATTTGGAAAACGGTCTATAAACCTTAAATTATAATCCAGAGACGAGATTTCACCCGTGCTTTTGACTTAGCGATGCCGACAAATTTACTATTTGGGTAAATCACGTCCTTGCGCAGCCGATGCCTGACGAAAATATACACCCTGGTTCGCGTCTTCACAACGAAAAAGTTAGATTTTGATTGAATTCTCGAACTTTATAAGTTTCCAATTAAAATTCTCTGAATTTGAACATCCCAACTAAACCATTTTACAAGCTAAATACTGTTTATTTTGCAAAATACACGTTTTGCTCGTACTTAGAATATCAATCCGCTATCAACAGTTGGTTGCTATGGAGATGGCTGACAGGTGTCTCGATCTCCCTCCCTCAATCGGCGGCGCGACGTATTATTGTTTCCGTAGAATCCCATTTCTTCAAGAGGATTGGAATCAGCGGCGGATCCAAGATTATCGAAGGGGGGGGGGGGGGGATGTGCAGAGCCCCCGGACGCGCTCATAATATAATAGCCGTCTAGAACGATATAAACTCTAATCTATCCCTTGAAATTTGCACTGCCCCTAATGCTTTATTTCGTTCTAAATGAACTCTCTATCATGCACACAAACTCTGAAAGGATGATTTGATAGAATAAAGTTGTCTTGGATGGTGTACTGGGAGCCGACGTAGAGCCCCTACCGGGAATCCATGCAAGGGTGGAACCCGCGGGTGCTGTCGAATTTAAAGGGGAAGTCCACCCTGAAATTAAGTTAGTTTTAATAGGAGTAGAAAAATGAGAGAAACAAGTCAGTGAAAGTTTGAGCAAATTCCGATTAAAAATAAGGAAGTTAGGATTTTTGAAGTTGTGATCAATCAAACACAAATTGGCAACTCTATGACGTATCATGCGAGCTCAACTTCCATTTGCTCAGTACTAAAAAATCTAAAATGTTCATTTTCCCTCAAGAAAAATTTCAACCATACATGCACCCTAAATATAATAATTGCAAATATGTTTCTATACTCCCCCTGCAAGGAACAAATATATATTCCGTCATCAATAACGAAGAAAACATGATTTTATGGAATATTATGCACAAAGCAAATGAAGGAGAGCTCGTATAATAAGTCACAGAGTTGCCAATTTGTATTTGATTGATCACAACTTCAATAATTCATAACTTTCTTATTTTCATTCAGAATTTGCTCAAACTTTCACTCACCTGATTTTCTTATTATTCTACCTCTATCGAAACAAACTTATTTTGGGGGTGGACTTTCCCTTTAAGAACCTTCAGAACCTTCAAGATAGCCGTCGTGAGCGACAGAAACTCTATTTATATGCATTGAGTTAGCACTCCCCCAGTGGTTTATTTCTTTGGGAATCTCTCTCACACAGGCACACACAAACACACTCTCTCTCTCTCTCTCTTTCTCTCTCTCTCTCTCTCTATATATATCTATCTCTTCTTTCCTAAGGATAGTTTTAAAGAACAAAGAGTTGTCTTGGGAACCACCTCTATATTTACGGATGGGGTCCAGGGGGCCGCTGTATATAGGGTCCCTATCGGGGTTCCAGGGGCAGAACCCACGGACGCTCTTGAGTTGTTGACAATAACCTTCAAGATGGCCGTAAGAAAGCGATATGAATTGTAACTTTCTCATTTGAATTCACACAGTTCCTATCGTTTCGTTTAATTTCATTAGAAACCATTATCTGTCGATTTCATGTAACTGTTTTCCTACTGTTCTACTTACATCCGCATTCTTCGATCATTACCACACGTTGAGCCAACTCATCGGCAATATAATCTTTATGTGAAATTTGAGTTTCTTATTTTTCTTTTCCTTTTTCTATCTCTTTCTCACGCCCCTCCCCCTCTCCCTCTCTCTATCTCTGTCTCATTTCCACTCTCCCTCTATCCTTCCCTCTCCCCTCTCTCTCTCTCCCCCCTCCCATCTCTCTTAGTTTTGGCATCCTCTTTTACACAGTCTTCTTTTGATATTCTCCCAAATATCTTTTCTGCAAAAGAACAAAACAAAACAATTACAATTTATTGTGACAATAAAGTTTTTTGTTTTGAAAGAAGGAAAAGAAGAAGAAGAAGAATCGAAGCTTAGCTCCGTCCCTTCCCATACCACTCCAACTCCACTTCAACTTGAAGTAGAATAAGAAGAAGAAGAAGAAGAAGAAGAAGAAGAAAAAGAAGAAAAAGAAGAAGAAGAAGAAGAAGAAGGAAAAATATATAACAAAAGAAGAAGAAGGAGGAGGAGGAGGAAAACTAAACGGAGAGGTTATGAAAACATAATGAAGAAGTGCATGAATTCAATCAGGCAATAGATACCACCATATTACTGTTTTGATCGTAAACTTTATTACAGTCTATATACATATATAACTTTCAAAAAAATTCCTAAGTGCGACAGTAACTCTTACAATGTCATTATCACAATATACTTTAACCAATCATTTGTTATTCATTTCTGATCATAGAAGTGCAAGGTATTGAAGAGTGAATAATACTCAAAATGAATTCTGGTAAAATATATATATGTAATTCATTTTCAATAATTCCCAATAAAACACACACGGTTATTCTAATGATACAAAGATAAATATCTCCATCCATATTCACAATTACCAATAGTTCAATGATTGTACCTCAATTATTATAATAGATGCTCAATATTCAGTTATATGGAATACACCTAAACGAGCGAGTACTGTATATCAAATGTATTTACATCATTTTAAACAAGATTATCATATTAACTACATGTATATATATCTCCATGAAAACGATGTATTTTTTGGTATCTTCTATTCCATCTTCCTGCAAGACGACAGTACAATGTTCGACAGTTCTCTGCAAATCACTAAATGGCACTATGAATATGACGGACAAAGAAAGAGGACAAAATATACAGTTCCTCATTCTACCCTCAACAATAAATTGCTGTGGTAGACAAAGGAACATCCCTTCACTGCTATTATGTACAAATGTGTAGAACAGGCGAATATGCAAGTGACACCTGTTCTACACATTTGTACATAATAGCAGTGAAGGGATGTTCCTTTATCTACCACAGCAATTGTTGAGGGTAAAATGAGAAACTGTATACTTTGTCCTCTTTCTTTGTCCGTCATATTCATAGTGTGGTATGCAAGATGCTAGAGAATTAAAATTATCTCAAAAACAAAATCCCCAAGCTACCTCCATGAATCCCCTTCATAAAAACAAAAATGTGCAAGTGTAAGTTTAATAAGAGGATTGAATATGAACAAGGTAAGAAATTAGGCTTATAAGTAAACAAATGAGAGCTATAATTAGAAAATATCAATAAAAATGAAAAAAAAAAGTAGGTTCTTAGAGATAAATTTTTGCTTATGTTGCAATTTTTTTTGAATTTCTACGTCTTTTTGAAATAAAACCCCGAGTTAAGCTAAATCTATTTGTTATTTTTCCTTTTCTTATTCAAAGTGCAATCCATATTTTTCTTCGAATGCTTACTTTATGCACTCTCGTTAGCACTTTTTTTGCTCTCCTTGAAAATTATACTATTAAGTATATGTTTTTTTAATCAACACTTTCCATTCCATGTTTTAAAGGTACTATGTCCCATTTGCAGGCCAAACAAATGAAAAAGTTAAATTCCAACTGCATTTGAAAGATAATACTAATTTAGAACTTCCCGAAAAAAGGTGGGGCTTGAAAAATGTCTTAAAGTGGGAAAATAACGACTATTAGTTGTCAAATCGACTTTAGGGCTATAGAGCCCAAAAGTAATAGTCTTGATTTTCAGACAATTGTACCGAATGGTCATACGTTTTATGCTGCGCAAAGATTCAATCAGTTTAATCTTGGCCATCACAAGAAGTGGGTTATTGATGTAGACAAATGCTCATGTACCCTTTACAACTCTTTTCATGTATGTTATTACCAAAGAAGAAAAAGCCAGTCAGTCACTCAATAGTGTCTGACAGTGAAGTCTAGCAAGTAAACGGGTTTCCTTGCATAATTTGAATATGAGGACACTGCTAACGTTTAAATTTCACAGATAGGACATACATGACATATTCATAATTCCTGCAAAGTTCTACAGAATTTGAGGTTGACTGCAAAAGGGACATAGTACCTTTAAAGGTCGTATACCGTTCTCTTGACGTGCAGAAGGACGACGGAAGTTAGAGGATTGCACGAAATCCCCAATTTTTATTCTTGCCTTTTATATAGGCCGGTATAACTTATCAATGAATATGAATGGAACATAATATTATGCAAAATATATTACACTTTCTTTCCAACATGTTAGTTTGATATTCTACATCCTGTCTACAGAACACTCTCATTGGCATGATCGGGGGAACTGTCAATATCATTTCTCATAAGAAAAATGTTTTGCATAGGAAAACACAAAAATAGATAAAATCTTTTAGTATTTCTATGAACTCTTATGGTATTTGGATCACGTTGCGCGCTCAGTTTCGAAAAAGGCATAGAGAATGAAAAATAAAGACACATTAGGCTTTCGGCAGCGCATGCGCAATCAATACTCTCTGCAAAAATAAAAATCTAAACTGTTGAGAGTTACAATTGCAAACAAGGTCATGAGAGAATAACAAGAAAAAAATAACATGGTATACCTATAATGCTTTTTTCTCAAACAGGTGCCTCAAGAGCAGTTTGATTCGCTATTAAAGCAAGATGCACTATATTAACGATTTCAAAAAGATATTAAAATGTAAACCCTTCATGTTGCGTAACGTATACTAATTCCATAAACGGTGTTAACAATGTTAAAGTTAAAATGAAGGCCTGAAATTACTTTGGTTTTTAGAATTGTGGTATGAACATTTTTGAGAAATTTTGGTAAAGAGAGCAGTATTAGGTCCCCCGTGTACCTTTGTAAAACGTAAAGTACTAACCTCATCGTCTATACAATTTCAAAGGACATCTTTAGACATTTCATATTATAGTTCAATACATCTATTCTATACATATAATGTGTCGGGAAAACGCTTTGTTTCCAAAAGAAAACACCCTTTTTAAATCCGGCCATCATTTGATATGATCAGTCTACCCCCTCCCCCGTAGAAACCTTTTGTATAAAGTACACGGTTCCTATAATTTTATTCAATATATATTTTATGCTAACGATACAGTAGTTCTAATGGTTATGCCCCCCCCCCCTAAAAAAAAAAAATATTGTATAGATGGAAACTACATTAATTATGTTGCTCAAGCATACAGCTTATATTATTTAGAGGTGTACTTTCAAAGAGCAAACGACATGCATGGATAAAAATAAAGACTGCTAGTCGTATATTTATTTTCAAACCTCGTTGAGATAGAGCTTAATGAAAAATATCGTATATGAGAATGAAAATGTACATTAAAGGAAAAGGTAACCGAACAGATAATATACCCGAGAAAATTCGTTAATATGTGCAAATTCGATTGGTTGTGAACGATGATATGTGAACATTTTATTTATATGTCATTGAGATAATTATATGATAGTATATCGCCATTCATTACTGTATATAAATATAAAACATATACAACTCTAATTAATACCCGCTCTATTCTTATAACTACTTGAACAAGTAAAGAAAGCGCTTTTTATTCTCTTTTCATTCAACATTGCCATGGTTACGTTGCACTGTCCGATTCGACCAAAGAGGTTGAACTGCCTTTTTACTCTTTCCATGAATTTGCTGGATGATATGGGCATTGTAAAAATGTAGGAAGCTTCAAAGGAGAGATTATTTTCTAAAAGAATTATGAAATATCAGTCACACCAATCTGACCGACATGAGACCGAACAAACACAAAAAAATACCCCTACTGGTCAAGAATCGGTCGGTTAAGAGTCGGTATGAAGTCGTTGTGGAGTCGGTGTGGAATCGTTATGGAGTCGTTGTGGAGTCGTTGTGGAGTCTTTGTGAGTCGTTGAGGAGTCGGTGTGGAGTCGGTATGGAGTCGTTGTGGAGTCGTTGTGGATTTTTTTCGGTAGTGTGACTATGATATCACCGTGAGGAGACGGACCAACTGTCAACATATCCCTATAACACCAAACCGCGATCACTCTCTTAAGAATTTAATAAATATCTTGCGAAGAAATCGCACAAGGTAACTGGTCTCTGCTTCTTCTTTTTTCTTTACAATGTATCAGCGGAAACTCTTCATTGGACTGTTAGAATTGTCAGAAGTATATAAATGGATTCTTCAACGATATCATCAGCACCATTATCCCTAACTACTCATGTAAACAGTATATCACTAACAAAGTCATATGGTTAGAAACATGCCCAATCTCAGTGATTAAAAGATGTCAAGTCTCCTTGGACAACATTTACCAAGCAAAATGTACAATAATATAGACGTGTAACTTTTAGGTATATGATATGTTTAGGTAATGTTTAGTGTAAGTAAAGCTTTGAATTATGGCAATCATATGTGAACATTATAATATATATAAAAGCATTTCATGATCACTTTAAATTATGCATTGCGCAAGATAATGATAATCTGTTTGGAGCCAGAAGAGCTTTAACTCATGTACTTTAACACAGGTTTAACGCCATTCTGGCTCTCTACATAACAGACGAATAATGATTTCAATGTGAAAGACCTGTTAATTCAACTATACAATCTTTGTATCATCACACTTTCCAACATGAACATACACGAAAAACATTGATAAACTTTAACCGAACATGAATTAGGCGAAAAACAAATGCGTAGTAATTCAAGCAACGATTGCATTCATGGGCCTTTTAAGGCTTGTTCAGATATGGCGACGTAAACCGCTGCAAAAAACCGCCGCCGCCGCGTTTGTGTGTGTGTGTGTGTGTTTTAATATGAAAATGAATGGCAACTGTGCAACAAAGGACTTGAATGTATTCATTGAGCATTGTGTAATAACATGCAGAAATGTGAAGCGTATTACACGTTATCATGAAAAAAAACCCGCTGCGGTTTTGCGCGTCGTATCTGAACTTCGTATCTGAACAAGACTTTACGATAGCTAAGAACAATACACCCGATGACACAACACACGGTACATTTTTAGACAATTGTTCAACCGAAAATGGTGATAAAAGAGCCAAGAGTATTACTTGACACAATGTGTTCAAAATAAACTTACTCTAACACTTCAAGTTATCTAAAATAGCTGAAGTAAGCAAGAAGTATAACATTTTCAAGAAAACTGATCAACGAAGTTACAATGCATTTCCCCCAAATATCAAGGTTCAACCAAATGTATTTACAAAAACAGTGGTGGCGAAGTTTTTGTGTGAACACGTTTACATAATGTTTGATTAGCAGCAACGTAATGGTTAGTTTTATCAACAAAATTTACAAATTTGACCTCAGTAATTAACATTCCTTATAAAAATAAAACATTTCTTTCAAAAATTTGATGTCATAAATTGTCGAAGTCATCCGAGACAAAAGAGGCCACACATTGACATGCGAATGCATTTCATTCTTTATGTATTTTTTCCCCAATATTTGTTATTAACGCTTCTCCACGATACAAGTGATAGATATACAAAATACATCATAGATATACCACAATATCTGTTTGCGTATTCAAATTGGCGATTCTCTGCTGAAATGATGAAGATATTGAAGAAAAGAGTTACCATAGCAATAACTTGATACGTATGTCTATAGCTGACGTATATTCATCTACGTAACAATCACTGTTGCATAAAATGACTTCCCATTAATTTTAAGCATGAGCTATCTATACTCATGTTAAAAAGAGTTGTTTCAACGATGAATGCTTGCATACGTATATATGTGAGATAGAGAGAGAGTTAGGGGAGACGAGACACAGAGACAGATAGAGATAGACCGACAGAGGCAAGGGAAAGTGAAAATTCTATTCAATATATCGGCAATATAATGTAGTCATAATCATTAAGAGTAAACTTTATGAATAACATATTAACAAAAAGGAATTCACACACTGTATCATGTAAAAACCCACAAGTTCTAAGTCTATAAACATATCAAAAGGCGTGGAAGTCATACTAGTTTTACAAAATACTTTCTACAAAGACGATAGGATGACGTCATAAAGAAAAGCCAATGGCCTGTATTATAAAAGGAGAACTAATTAACACCTGGCTTAACTCAAGTCCAGTGAACTATGGAGCGCCAAGTGTCAACACAAATTATGTTAATTCTATAATAAAATGACTGAATGATATGAATCAAGCGAAGAAATAAGAATAGGAAATCGAATTTACAATCATGATATCTGTTTGCTCATTTACAGTTAGTCCTACTGTGACATTTGATAGGTAGGGAGAGATTTGCACGTGGTACTCCATATATCATTGGACTAAATCAACTTAGTATGAAGACCGGCCAATGTGTAATATTGTTAATTATAATTATCGAATCTACGAATGCAGAGGAAAGGAAGAATCAAAGTTAAGAATCACCTAAACAGGATTATGTGGAGTAGTTTGCGTGAAGATTTAAAACGAGAACAGATGATTTAAAGCTGACAAGTCATGTCACTTCATATTTACTTTTCTGAAGATAATTGCAATGACACTTCGTTCTTTAGTTAAAGCAACGTCTGTATGCGCTACCTGAAATTATCCCTGTCGCATTAACGTAATGTGTTCATTTAAACTACATTTTGGGCTTGGCCTTGGTGTACAGATGTTCTTTAAGAAAGTGTGCATAAATCAAGCCCCATCTTATATTGGAAAGGACAGATTTTTTAGAATGATTTTATAATAGTAGGGGCTAAGAGAATGTTAATGATAAAAACGTAGGTCATAATAACAACGATAGTTATTACAATTACTTTTATAAAGACAACATTTCTTTTGACCATACTCCTTAGCTGCCAACGATTAACAAGTTACAATACACAGTTGAATCACATTATATGTTCATTGTGATGAGTTGTTGAAACCATTGTAGACATATCTCTTCATTTCGATGCCATCTTTTGGGGGATTATTGTCCGTCCATGGGTTTGAAGGCCTTTTGGATTGCCAATTAAGCTGCGGAATTTCTGTCAAAGGTTGATCTCCAACGCCCCCACTACTACCAAGCAGCGGCGATAAATTTACTCGATCGACCGAGGCGTCTTCGTCGATCTCCTCGCTGCTGTTAGTAGCGTTGGCCTCAGTGATATGTAGATCATCGTCTTCGTCGTCGTCGTCGTCATCGTCATCGTCACCATCGTCGTTCTCATCGTCAAGGTCGTCCTCTCTTGAGTCCTGCGATTGGAAGCTATTGTTTGTCGAGGCTATCCCTGAGGTGCTCTGCGAATCGGCACTGGCGTCCGGAGAGGGTGCGTTTGGATCTGCTGGAGGAATCACCGGCGGATTGCCCTCTTCCTCCATTCTTGACGCAAAAGCCTTTTCTCTCCTCAGAGGGGCTCTCCCAGTAAGCGATGATCTTCGCGATGAATCGTCCACATCATCAACATCCCTGTCTTTCCTCTCCTGACTACCACCACTCTGACTTACTCCTTCCTCCTCCGTCGAATACTCGTTGACCGTGTCTAACTTCCTGGGAACGGGTGGGTCTTCCACCGATTCGGATATGCCCGAATCACTCAAAGTTGGCTTTTTCCATGGCGGAGCCACCTCCTGTATGGCATCAGGTGATAGAGACGCTGCAGACAACCGTCTCTCCTCTTGAGCTCTCGCCTCAATCACCGCGGCCTGTGATAACCTTCTCCTCATAGATTTCTTCTGGAGTTCGTTGACTGCCACCATCACGTTCTTCACGTTTTTCACTTTTAAAAAATCGGGCATGGCGTAATCCTCATCCCGGATGGGGGCGCTCTTGATTGGCTTAATGGCGGGCTGGTCATGTGACGGACTCTTCTTACCCTTCTTACCCTTCCGAAAGAGGTAAGACGGGACTCGGTGAAGCTTATTCTCGTCATCGGATGAGTTCGTGGTCTTTCGGCTAGGATCGGGGCCATTGCCACCGGTTCCGTTTTGGAACTTGACGCTTTTGGGAGCGATAACTGGGTCCTTGTTCTTGAGGATTTCCAGCATCTCGTAACGGAATGCAGAGATGTCCTGTTTGATCTCGTTGAGATCATCCTCGGTGACGCCCTTCTCTTGCTCACCACGCTTAGAGTACTTCAGGTAACGCTTGACCAAGTTTTTCACGACCCTCTGTATTAAAGATAGAACATGAACAAAAAAGTGAAATTCAAGATGAAGATACTTGTGAAGGTGAAGTTTCGGAGAGGGGTACAAACTTTACAGTCATTTATACAATCGGTTTCAAGAAATGCTCAAAACCAGGATTATTTGAATTTCTTTTGTACCCTCACTATCTAAGGATCATCTCGCTGAATAATGTACAATCACACTAATGGGACCTGAAAATCAACAATTCTTTTAGAAACTCGATCCTTTACTAAATATATTTCAAATTTCAAATTTCAGGTTTCCACAAGAATGAAATCTACTTCTACTTGGGACCCCAGTGAAATCTCCAGTGTTAAAAATAACTTTATAATTATCTCTAAAACTCCTTTAGATCGTTTTTAAATATACACACCTGATAGTCATCGTCTTTCTCCTTCTTCTTTTGGGTCTGATCTCGCTGAAAGAATATAAAATATAAATCGTGAAAATTATTGACAATATGCAAGTGACGCGAAATAAGCTTTGACGACAGTAAAACAAATTCTTCTTTAGATTTACTTCTTTCAGAGCTTAACGAGTTTTCCCTCAGCAAGTTTTGTTAAGAGCAACAATAATTTGATCAATGTCAATAATTTCAACTTGTTGCTAGACCTTCTTTTGAAGTATAGAGTTGGAAGAAGACAGAAGATGATAATGATAAATATAAATGTAACAGAAATACTCCAGAGGGACAGCAAAAAAGGAAGACGATCTGAGGGCCCTTTAAAAATTTATTTTTCTAGTGATTGTAATTTTTCAGCTAACGTGTCGGTAAATGTAATCCGAAACCCACTCCATTCTCACTATTATCTAGATACGCCCCTGTACAAATTGAAGAAAAAATGATCAATGACAAAAAATAACCCATAGATATTAGATATGGAAAACACACCATCATCCATCAACAGCAGCAACAACAAAAACAAGAACTGGGCAATGAATAAATATATAAATCTTAATGAAACACTGAAACATCGAGTTAGAACTAAACTCGAAGAAATGAAGAAAGGGAGGAAACTTACCACTCTGTTGACACTGGCTTGTTTCTTTAGCTTCCATTGGCAACAGCATATATTTTTCCATAAATATCGGAATAAATAGTAGAATGACTTTGGGCTTGGAATGGTGTTGAAGGGGGAAGGAAGGGTGTTGCCTTCTTCGAAGTAACTCATCCACAGCTTGGCTCGGGCGAACTTCCACTCCATGTCGGCTCGGGTCTAAAGAGATGGAAATGGAAGGGACAAAGAGAGGAAGGAGGAGGAGGAGAAAGAGGGAGATACAGAAAGGGGAGTATAAGAGAGAGAAGTGACAAAGAGAACATGGGAGGCAGGAAGAAAGAGATAGAGAGAAAGGAAAAAGAGAGAGGAAGAGACAGGGAAAGAGAGAGAGAGAGAGAGATAATATTACTTTTCTCGAGATCGTGTTGAAGGAAATAAAATCAACGTTGTCGCATCGTGGTCTAGTGGATACGTCACCGGACTGTGGATCACATGGTTCGCGGTTCGAGTCCCGTCGCTGCACTAATGTCTTTTGGCAAGATAGTAATCTACACTTGCCACTCTCTACCCAGGTGTAGTAAATGGGCACCTGGTATGAATTTACTCTAAGGGCCGCTGGGCTTAAGACAGTGTAATGATAGTACTTTGTAGGCGCCTTCAACATCACCTGGGATTGATATGTGCAGAATATAAATGTAGATTGTATTATTATTATTATTATCAATGTTACTATTATCACTACCTGCAGGATATACCATTTGTTAAATATTTGCTATTAACAATAACGACAGAGAGTCCCACAATATCATATACATTCTCGTTTTTTATGCAGTCCTAGTCCAATCCTAATTCGTTTCGAAAAGAACATGCTCATAAAAGGATCGTAGTACATAGCCGAGTTAAGTTGTTCAGTAACATTTATCACCAGATGAAAAAAGTGAATAACTTCAGGGATGAATACTGAAATACTACAAATGAATGAAATACAAAAGAGTGACTGTCACTTCATCTCGTTATACCTGAATTTTCTGGAACGAGGTGTTCATCATGGCGATGAGGAGATTGAGAAGGATGACAATGGTGATGACGCTGTATGTGCAGAGCATGACGGCGCCGATGAACACGGTGACGTCATGACTTGTTGGGAGGTTGACTACGGATACCTGCAGCTGGCCAAAGATGGCCCACATCAACGCCTCCAGCGACGTCAGCATACTGGTAATAAAAGATCAATCAAAGAATCATGTGTTATCATCTAGACGCGGCCTACTCCTAATGCGTTACACACGAGGCGTCATTTCAATTACGCAGTTCGAGGACATTCGGGCGTACACACGTACAAAGTACAGGCGCAATATCTAGCCACGGCCGCAACCTCTTGAAGCAGGGTGTGATGGTCTTGCCCTAGGCTTCAGATTTGTCCGAAAAATCTACTTTAATGGAACCCTCGAAAACCAATCTACACAAACCAATGAGCCCCAAAAGAATATAACCATGTAGCATCTGGCCATTGTGGGCCTACTTTTTGCTGTTTAGGTGTATATGACATAAAATCTGTGGAATTGGACAATTTGAATGGCGTAGTGAAATGACGCCTCAATGACACTATGGTCGTTGAAATGGGGCGTCATTTCGATTGCATTGTTACCACGTTAATGAAGCATTCCGTTAATAGTGAGACCCAAAGGTTACAGTGATTCAGTACGCTTTCCATCTCCTTTAATAGCAGCAGACGCTAAACAATAACTAAACGTAATTAGCAAATACATTAAACGCTGTCTTTTACAGTGTTGATTTTGCAATTACTTGGTAAACAATGTCACTCTCACGCGGTGTTTCAAAGACCAGCATCCGGTCTACCATTTCAGTAACTTTTTGTTTAACTCTTGAACATTAGCGGTGCAGTTTTTAATACTCACTTTGAGAATACATTATGGTCCTGATTTTCACAGGTCACCCCGGTGCACCCACTACCGTCAGGAGGGGGGCTGCTATACACCCAGTAGAGCTGATTGAGACCGGCTGCGAAGGAGAAGAGGACGAGGATGGCTAGAAAAGCGAACTTGATGATGTCCTCGACCATGCGTCCTAAGGAGATCTGGAGAGGTCCCAGGTGAGAGTTTGCGGTGAAGAGGTATACCAGACGAAGCATGCTGGAAAGAGCAGAAATAACAGGTGACTAAATAAAGGGACAAAATTAGGGAGTGGAGATTGTGCACACAGTTTGTGCGGGCAAGTATTGAATCCAATGACTGGGGTAATAGTATATCTGTAAAGCGCTTAGAGACATTTGTATTGAGCGCTACATAAAAGCGGAATATTATTATTATTATTATTATTATGAGACACTGGGGGAGGGGGGGGGGAGGAGATTTGTTCTTGTTTTGTTTTTTCGCTTTATATTTTATAGCTTGTTAACCATTTTTGTTTCTTTATCTGTCGGCAATTTGGTTCGACACCCTCATCCTATTACCTAGCAAACCCCTGGCGGATGGACATCATCGGTTGTAGGACACAAGCTCCACCGGCAATTTGCTCAGTGGTTAACTTCCTACACAAACAGACAAACCGATATCCAACGCCACACTTGCCTCTTTACATAAAACTCAATTGCAACCCTCATCCTTACCCTATATTTTGACGAAATAAAGCCAGAAGCAATTAAAGTCGAAGCAAATGTCGGATGAACTATACTTTTCTCGAAGCATTTACGACGGTGAATGCTGCTTTTGCTAGGAGCATGGGATCCAACATGTCCTTAATGTTTTTGTATCAAGTTCTTAATATCACATGAAGCAAGATCCCTTTACAGATACAGTTCTTCCTTAGCACATTCGTTCAAATGATTCAATCTCTGTTGTAATGCAAAGCTACCCAAATCAGGTGATACATTTCATTCAAGGCTCTCTTTATCATATAAATCATCATCTAATATAAATCATCGTCTAATAGTAATTACCTCAATACATTTGCGACGGCGAAGGCTGCTTCAGCTAAGAGCGTCGGATCCCACATGTCCCATTCCGCTCGTAACAGGTCCTTATCGCCGTAAGACTCGTTAAGGATTATGTGTATCTGTTGTCGAAATGAGGAGAGAAGCCATCGAAATATTATACTGTTTCTAAATCAAGATTCATTCCAATTATCGGATACGAAAAATGAACCATTCTGCAGTGAATGGCGCTTGCGACGAGCTTAATTTGAAGAAACTTTAGAGCACTTGCAAAAAAAGTCACGTTGTGAAAAATACAATCACATTATTAATACACAAGTTTTAAGAAGACTATCACTTCAAATTTTTTATTTTTCATGTTTTATGTAACGTGGCTTTTTTAAAATAGATTTTCTATTTATTCATTCATAAAACCCCATTCGTTTGTAGAATATTACATTCCGCAGGGTTATTGTTGTTTGACTCTTTGTTGCAGTTCTTTGTCATTACCAGAGTTCAGAGGTATAATTTACTTTTATTCAAAGATGTCACCAAGCATGCCAATATATGACCGTATGGTCTGCTTATACTTACATTTACGTATGCCGTGACCCTTAGACCTATGACTGTTATATAAAGCGAGTTGGTTATGAAATCGAGTAAATTCCACCAGTCATGAAGATACTCGATTATTCCCGCGTCCCAGAGTTGTTTGATTTCTGCCCACACAAACCCTGCAGAAGAAAGAATACAAATGATAATTTATATTTGTTTTATCTTTTAAAATGTGGACGATATATTTTTTGTTGATTCAGCACAAAAAAATCCTTGAAGTAGCTAAGGATGTGCAGAACATAAAACATCGTTTGTGTAATTTTAAGTTTTACAAAATCTTTCGTCACCATGGAAATATGACATCCTAACCTTTGAACATTTCCTGTCGGCAAATTGAAAAGAAAAATAATGACATTTTTTCCTGTTACAATTTCTTTCGAGGAATTTATTGGCAATCTAGAACCCTGTCAGAAAGTTGGAACATCTGAGGACCATTTCCAGCTACTTTTTTTGGCAATTCTTTTGCCCCCCTTCCCGTATTAAAAAAACTGCCCAGCGATGCCCTGTACTCACCTGCGATCCACCAGGCGATAAGGAGCTCGACATCCGTGGGCGGGGGACCACGCATGTCGACGCGAGTGGACGTTGACTTGTTGGTGAATTCGAGCGAAGCCATGAGAAGTAAGACGACAAAAATCAAATAGGAGGCACTATGACAAATGAACTGGATGAATGGAAGACGAAGTATCCGACCAAGCTTAGTCTTGGGCGCCAGGAGGTACATGAAGGAGAGCAGAGGAAAGGACATGCCCACAAAGAAGCTGATGACCACCTTGAGGGTCCAATGCTGCCTCCGCCAGCCCGGTAGGCCCTGGTACCACTCCTCTGCGAGCAGCTGCTGGCAATTCGGATGGGCCGTAAACTGAAATGAAAAATTGTATGTGTAAACAAAAAGTGTCTTGGATTAACCCTTTTAAATATAAACTTACCAAACAGCTTGTATGCATTCATTTCTTAAAACATCGACGTACCGGAGTGTTGGCTCAGTCAGTAGAGCGTCCGCCTCACAACCGGGAGGTCGTTAAAAGATGGGAGTTGTTGCTACCTTGTTTGGCGTTCAACAATAAGGGGATAGAGCAACGTCGATCTGGCGCTGCTCAGTGGCTGCCGGGCTCACGATCAATTGGGCAAAAAGAATTTCCGTTTCGGTTTAATAAAATTTGGAGTGGACTATTAGGCTATTATTAGTATTATTATTAGTATTAGCTTGTATGCATTCATTTCTTAAAACATCGACGCTTTAATTGCAAAATGAAACCTTCAAATGCAGATAGATAAAATGGGAAATAATGGTAAGGCACTTTGAAAAGTATGAAAATCAATGACGATACTACCACTATCAGCATTTTCAATTTGTACCCAATGAACAAACTCAAGGAAAGACATAAACAAGAATAAAGGATCACATTTTTGCAACAACCATGCCAAAAGCCAGGCTTTATCAATGGGACACAATAATTGCACCTTTAGTCGGTCAAAATTTGCACCCCTTTTATTTTTAGGGATGCTGCTATTGTAGGCCTACTGTTAGAGTTCTTTAGTGCTTGGTGTCTAAATCGGATATTTAAAGGACAGGCAAAGAATCAAAGAAAGACAAGAAAATCCAATATAACAAGTATAAACGCCGTGGTATTTACCGCTTTTTGCTTGTACTTGATGGCAAGTCTTAATCTGCTGAGGGGTTCCTCACTCGATGGAGCATCTTCATCGCGGTTAAGGATTGTTGAAAGTTCATGAGATCCCCTCGTCTGGTCTAACAGCTGTGTCGCAAACACTCGACAGTTCTCAGCTAGCTTCTCGTACTCCTCTGCAAAAGCAGCCAAAAATAGGGGAAAAGGACATTAAACTAACGAATAAAACTTATTGAGTTAGATTTGGTTTGCTTTCGGTTAAGAGGTTTCGGTTTGGTTCAGTTATCACTGGTTTGATTTGTTCAGGTGAGATGCATATTGGCTCGGTTTGGTTAAGCTCGGTTTGTTTTCAATTTGGTTTCATTTGGTTTGGCTTGGTTTAATTTGATTTTGCCTCGTTCAGTTCAGTTTTTTCCCGTTCAGTTTGATAACAAGTCGTATTGTTATTGGGAGGAGAAAAAAAAACATACATTGATCAGCGTAGGTTCTTTTTAGTTGATGTAATTCGTAATACTAGTAGTACAAACCTGTAGAATGTCCGTGTGTATTTTTTAATAGTTGGTCGTTTACAGTTTTGGTTAAAATGCTAATGACAGTAACACATGCCTCTTTCATTGCCTTCAATTACAACATTACATACCTTTGAACTCGTTTTCTTTATGACTGAGTTTTCGCAGCTCCCAACTCAACTCAAAGGCAGTGAGTACGGGATCATCGCTGGACAGGGCGATCAGCGAAGAGCTAGCGAGGGCACGGTAGATATTTAGCCTTGACCGCGAATGTCGCAAGCCATCGTGACGTATGCTGGCCTTGCAGTCGTCGCAGCCGCACTTGACATCGTGAGGTTTAGGGATCGATGCCCCGCGTTCTAACAGCACTTTGAGGATCTCGTAGTTGTTCCGATGAGCCGCCATGATAACCGGGGAGATGTCCGAATCGTAGTCGGATTCTTGGGTCTCTTGCAGTATCCGAACCTGAGTTAAATATGACAATTATTGATACATGCAGTCAAACCTGGATCAAATTCAAGTTTGATAAATATTTTTTGTCAGTAGTCCTGTTGTGTAAATATTCATGCTGTGTTTCTGGCAGTATCTCAACCTGAATGAAATAGATGGAAATTGTTAACAAAGTTCTTGAGTACATGTACATAATACTGAATTGTGATCTCATTTTGTATCAGTAGTTGAAGATGATATTTATCTTTCTTAAAAAAGGCAAAGGTCTACGTGGAGGTTACTTGCCCTTAAGTCCCGAATTCGTCTCGCATTTTCCCAAGGTTTGGCAATTTGGTAATTATCGAAACATCCTTCATCATAATATAGGCATTCCAGTCGAAAGCAGAAGAAAAACATGGCTGGTTGACTATGATTGAACAAGACTCTCTAAATTACATGGCAGTTAGTCACGAAATAGAATAGGTGTACCAATGAGTTTCCTCAGGTAGACAAAAACTCAAATAATAAAATGCCATGTTTTGAAAATAAACTATGCTTTGTAACAACGGAGAACATTTTGAGAACGTTATTAGCAGCAGGGTTTGATAATTCACGCGAAATTGCACATAATTTTGTCGTTTTTAGTTTTATATGTTGTCTGGAACGCTATATGTTTTTTACCAAAGTATATTAGGCATCACGCCGGTTAATGGTAGACGTGGCGTTGCCATGGTGACAAGGACCAAAGAGAGAATCCCTATATTTAATGGGCCATTTATCGCCGTGAGATCTTCGCTCTTCCACGATGACGATTATTGCTCTCCTTAATTTCGAAGATCGATTTCAACTCAAAAGAATGAAATATCAGTGAGAAAATATTGGTGGCCAGCTAATCATCGTAATGCCTCGAATATCCATTTGATCGGCTACGTCATTGGTGGCTGGGGAGTTTGTATGATGAATGAGCGGTTATGAAAAGATGTCTTCGCTAATAATACTCTCCAAATGATTGCAAGCGAGTTTGCGAGGAGGTGATATTGGAAGGAATAAGATTAATGTGATAATTTCTAGAAAATAATAAGGCTCATAAATTTGGATAAAATGGATGAACAATCGTAATTTTTTTTTTTTTTTTTTTTTTGCTCATGGTATTTTTAAAGGTTAATAGAGGAATATGAATTTCAGCCATGCCGGCTAACTACCTGCAAAAATAATTGTTACAATAATTTCCGATAGCTTAAAGTGTTTGATTTTTCAAAGTATACCATCTTAGATTTCAATGCTTAAAGACGATATCTGTTTCTAAAATACTAATACAGAGAGAGAGAGAGAGAGAGGGGGGGGCGGGAGATATGTATTCAATTAAGTTTAATCCCGTAATGCCTTGTGAGATTTTACGAGAATCTATCCTGGCGGTGAGGATTAGAGAAGCACTTTGTTCGTCGGGAAAGGGATTCTCGTTCAAATTATTTTTCGGATCGAATCTATTAGGATTACTTTAAAGGTACTATGTCCCTTTTGCAGCCAACCTCAAATGCTGTAGAACTTTGCAGGAATTATGAATATGTCATGTATGTCCTATCTGTGAAATTTAAACGTTAGCAGTGTCCTCATATTCAAATTATGCAAGGAAAACCGTTTACTTGCTAGACTTCACTGTTAGACACTATTGAGTGACTGACTGGCTTTTTTTCTTCTTTGGTAATAACATACATGAAAAGAGTTGTAAAGGGTACATGAGTATTTGTCTACATCAATAACCCACTTCTTGTGATGGCCAAGATTAAACTGATTGAATCTTTGCGCAGCATAAAACGTATGAACATTCGGTACAATTGTCTGAAAATCAAGATTATTACTTTTGGGCTCTATAGCCCTAAAGTCGATTTGACAACTAATAGTCATTATTTTCCCACTTGAAGACATTTTCAAGCACCACCTTTTTTAGGGAAGTTCTAAATTAGTATTATCTTTCAAATGCAGTTGGGATTTAACTTTTTCATTTTTTTGGCCTGCAAATGGGACATAGTCCCTTTAATAGTACACAGTGAAATGGTAGAATGGCTTACAATATCCGTTCATGACTGATTCATGAGAATAAAAATATTAGTAGAGACTTTTGCACGACGAGAACGTGGCCTGCTCGTGTGAAATCATTTGAAGGCAATGTGACATCCTTTTTAGACACTGACAGTGAGGTCACATTGCCATAAAAGGGTGTCACAAGGGCAGTCCACGTTCTCGTCGTGCAAATCTAAAAGTCCCTTCTGTCTCCCTGTGGACAGGGGTCGACAAACTCTATTAATTAATCATGAGGATAAACGAAAAAGATCTTGTATACTTGTGAGAAGTAGTAAAGTAAAATCATAGAATTACTTCCAATATCCGTTCATGAATGAATTATGAAAATGAAGATCTTGCAAACTTGTGCAAAGGAGTAATACTAAAATTTTAGAATAACTTTCAACATCCGCTCTGATGAATGAGTCGTGAGAATACAGGTCTTGGATACTTGTGTTTAGTAATAAATTAAAATCTTAGAATAATTTACAATACCCGTTTATAAATAATCATAATAATAAATATCTTGTCTACTTGTACAAAAGATTAAAGTACGTGTAACAGCGTAAAATATGGGATAAAGGACGTTATTGCCGGGGCTGGGATTCGAACCCACAACCCTAGGATTGAGAGTCTAGGGAGTCAACCACGACACCTCCAATACAATTCTTCATGACGTAATAATGTCAATCGTAACAGTTAGAACGATAATACTTACATGGAGATCCTTCTTTGGAGGTTTATAGTTGAGGAGGAGTTCGACGGCCTCTACCACCTCCTCGTCGATGGCGTGAAGGAGAGCGTCGCCCACGTGTACATGGTAACGAAGTAGGAGCTCAATGATCTCGATATTCTCATTCTGGATGGCGATCTGGAGCGCAGTTCTACCAAGGGGATCCTTTAGGTGAAGAGGATAACGGAGAAGAAAGAAATAACATTATTATAAGAAATACCTTTCAAACATTTAAAAACGAAATCCAGACATTTTTCCTCTGTTGGTGACTTCGTCAGCGATGTGACCTGGCTGACCTTTCTGATGTAATGGGCAATACATTTTAAACAATCTTGAATTCCTCATCGGTTGTACGATCTATGTAACTTTTACCTTAATTCTCTTAATTTTGTTTAGCGGGATTACTGCAATTTAGTGTGCCTGCCTGTTTCTCAGCATCTCAGTCTTTTTCATGTTTTCGTTCTCCCTTTCTTTATACCTATCTCTCTGGTCCCCTCTCTCCTTTTCTCTCTCTCTCTCTCTCTCTCTCTCTCTCTCTCTCTCCCTCTCTCTCTCTCTCTCTCTCTCCATTTTTAAATTGCGCGACTGTTGTCTTGCCTTTCAAGTTCATAGACCTGCTAGCGTATAATGTAGCCAAAATTTTCAATAAGGGATGAGAAAGGGGAAAACCCGTTCCAGATGAAAAAAAGTCAAATAAGGAAAAATGCAAACGCTGAAAATTCAGAGGTGAAAAAGTCAGAGGCAAAAAAGAATAGAGTAGAATAGAACGAAAGATCTAAACATTTTTGCTTACTGTTTTGTTCAATTCTGGATTAAAAGTAGACACAGCCCGCCCCTTTGAAATGAACACGGATTTTCCATCTTAATTTTTCTCTGCTTCCATCTTTGACACAATCATTTCGCCTTTCTCCATTCTAACATTCACATAGGCATTCCTTTGACTTTTTTAGTAGTGAGTTTTCCTTTTTTCATTTTTACATAACCACGTTTGATTACTCTGAAAGTCTAACTAGATATCTAGATATGCGAATTCTATACTTTACATACCGTTGTTATTATGGATGCAATATCGGGCCTATATACTCTATATACTCTATATATATATACTCTATATACTATATACTACATAATATTAAAAATACAATTATTTGCCCTTTCAATTCGATGCTGTTCTCTCTTTACCCGTAACAAGCGGAAGCACTTTGCTTTCCTAGACGAACGCAATATCTACAATCCCATCATTGGTAAAAGTTCTTTACTGGAAAGATGATATTCTTGTTATCACCCTAGCCATATTTAGTGTCCATTTTTTAGGTTATTGATATCTTAAGTGTCTTCTTCCATCAAAGTTCAAACTTCGTATCAGAAGCAATCCTATACATATTTCTGTCATTAAAATCCGCAGGCGTCATACAAAAAAATCCAAGATCTATTTCTAAGTGGTAGCTGCAAATTGAGAGCTATTCGGTATCAAGTTCAAGACCACGAGGCACGAGCTAATAATATAAGCATACTTGATCACAGATTCATAGAACCAAAGCTTGGCAGACAAATTCCTGATAATGTGACACCGTTTTCTGTAATTTCAAGAGACCGTTAATTTTGGACAATGCTGATAACAAATCAGATAGGCAAGAATCTGGTATCACGTTTTGACTATTGCTAGCCCTGTCATTATTAGCTGTTAGGATCATGTTTAATGGAAGATGGGTAATCAGGTCCACTGCCTTGCGAAAGAGGTTATCAGAGGTATGCAATCGGGAGTGAGATTATAAAGCGTTCTTTTCTTTTCCGTTTACATAGTTTACGCATTCTGTAATGTAGCCTGAAGAAAGGCGTATAAACTGGGGATAGAGGGGATAATACTCTCTCCCAATCAAAATGGAAAAGGGGAAGGAGAAGAGAGGGTACTAAGGAAGGGAGGGGGGAATTCGGAGAAAGAGGAAATTAATAAAGGTGGTAAATAGAAGATAGCTCTCCCATCCTTTTCTTCTCTATCGCTTTACTCCTTAATTTGTATCCAATAGATAAGACGCTTGACCCCTCCCCTTACCAATCATGACGGCGAATGTCCCCTCAGTTCCTGGGCCAAAACGCTGCACCACTGGTTCAGAGGGATACATGTATATTTCAATACCTGAAAGTTCTCAATTTTTTTTTTTTAAATTACAAAGTTGTTTTTTCTCTATATCTATAAAGAATATTAAGTAGTAAAATAGTGAATTTCTCATCAACATCATCGTCATCATCATTATCGTTATTATTATTATTACTGTCATCATTACTGTTATATTTATTGATATTATAATTATTTTTATTGTTATTTTTGTTGTTATTATCATAATCATTACTATTATTATTTTTGTATTATTACCATTATTTTCATCATCAGTATTAACATCATCATCATAATCATAATCATCACCATCACAGTAATAATCATCATCATTTAATACAGTAAACGTTAACGGAAATGTAAAACCATTTTGTTAGCCCCTTCCACCGATATTAGTATTGTCATAACCATCCAACTTCTTACAATTTAACAATACACGCCGGTACGAGACCTCAAATCACAATTAAAACCCTGCATTCATGACAGGATGAATTAGAGGGTAAACTCTCTTCTAGGCCTATCATCATCATCAACATCATCATCACCATCATAGTCATAATCATCATCATGTTTTGTTAGCACCTTCCACCGAGTTAGTAATGTCATAACCATCCAACTTGTTAACATTTAACAGTACACGCCGATACTCAAATCACAATTACAATCCTGGCATTGAAGAGGAAACTTTCATCTAGGCCTAAGCACGACTGGGTTTGTCAGTCGAAATGTATAATTAAAGTTGGATACTTGATCGTGTTTTGATTAAAGACAGGGGAAGAGCGTTTCCTACTTGTATCGCGTGCGATTTGAAGGTTGCTACTAATGAGAAAGGCAAAACTTCACCTTTGTGCAATAATCATTCTCTTTGTATTAATGCTGTGTGTACGTGGCGAACACTTCATCTCAGGCGAGGCACAATTATTAAAAATGCATTTTGTGACTTCTTGTTTTTTGTTTTTTGTTTAAAGTTCATCAATAATCTTCAACACAAATATCATGAACACTAAAATCAATGTCATGCTGTTTTAATCGACCTACACCATTAACTATAAAATCGCATGTTAATAATTAAAAAAATTATTAGTAAAAAAAATTGATAACCATGATATCATTTAATGTAATATTACTTATGTGTCATACAAATAATATCAGCTAATAACCGCCACCGATATCATGTCATAGGCAACTACTTTTTTTCTCTCATTAAATGAAAAGAAAATTAAAAAAATGAAAAGAAAGAAACAAGAAGTACAACAAAAGAAGAAAAAATAGTGCACTGTCCTAAACAATAATTTTCCTTAAAATTAGTATTTCCGAAATTTTATTTTTCTTTGCTATAACTTCTTCTTATTTTTACGAAGTGACGGTAGTGAGGAAAATCGTCACGCAAAGTGAATGCAATTTTTTTCACTACCGTCACTTCGTGAAAACAGCGAGTGTCAGGAAAATAATGCGGGGAATTAAAAAAAATGAAATGAAACAGAACATGTGATGAATATAAAATGAAGAAACAACAACCTTTGGTTCTCTTCCATTCACCTATAAGAGAAAGTGATAAAAGAGAGAGGAGCAAAAAGATGTAATCCGGGCAGACACAAAGAAAGCAAGCTTTCGAATCTCAACCTTGATATTTATATTTTCTTTCTGTCCAATGAGGACATGAAAGTTGCCATGATTTATTATCATGCATTGTTGTGATAAGGATTGGTGATATAGGGGGATGGGGTAGGGGAGAAAGAACGAGAGTGGCTCGAGAGCGGGAGAGAGAGAGAGAGAGAAAGGAAAAAGAACCCTTTTATTCTTGTCGTGGAACCCCGATTCCGTGTCTTTTATACAAGTTATTTTAACTTTTAAGTTTTCCAAAGAGGATTATAAAAATATGAAGGACGTGGAAAAAGAGCATGGATTGTATCATAAAAATATGAAGGATGTGGAAAAAGAGCATCATGATGGATTATATAAAATGTTGAGATCCACGTGCATGTTGCCAAACACATATAAAATGCGTGTATAGACAGGGAACTGACTTCATGGATTATTCATCTCTTCGTATACAAATAATTATGTCGCAACCACATGCGGCCAAACAAATTAATGCAAAATTAATCAATGCATGGGTCGGAAGTAAATTCGTTGGTTATCAAGAAACTGACGAAATAACGAACGATTATGAGCATATGGTACCATATTATCTCATCATAAAACTCAGTTACAATGCGTTAAAGAATATTATAGGGTACCAGTATAAACCATGCAATCAAACCTTCGCAAAGCAATCATTATCCACCGCTCTATGATCACGATCACGTTTCCGTGACGACGATTATGGGGTACCAGTTTCTCGACAGTCGGCCCTTTATAGCGACAGCCTTAATATTTTTCTCATTCACTTACTCCAAGTAATTGTCATGCTCCCACCAAGATATTCTTGGCATCATCGGAGTTCTTCTGTCTTCCCAAGTTTATGATATTTCCATATTTATGATACATTTATGCCCCTCCCTTTTTTAAATCTCTCTCTCTCTCTCTCTCTCTCTTTCTCTCCCTCACCCAATCCTCTCTGGTTCTTTCTCCCCTACCCCCTCTTTATGCTTGCCGTGGAACCCCCATCCCGTCCCCCCCCCCCCCAAGCCCCTCCTTCTTCTCATCTGCTATTTTTCTTTCTCTCTCTCTCTCTCTCTCTCTCTCTGTATGTCTGTCTGTCTCTGTCTTTCTCTTTCTCTCCTCAGTCTATCTCTCAATCTTTATCCATCATCTCCATGCATCCTCGCACTATCTTACCCTGCAGTTGATGTTGATGTTAAAGTAGATCTCCGCCTCTTCGAGTGCATGGCGGACACTGGCGAAGTCTCCGCGCTCTACCGCCAACAGGTACTGCTTCTCGGCCGGTGATAGGGGCACTTCTTTCCGGACGATCTGGAGGGGGATGCGGTCACTGAGCGAATCGACATGGTAGAACTTGGGCATGATGATACTCCTCTGCCTGGTACCATCACTCCTCCTGAAGAGAGAGAGAGAGAGAGAGGGGGAAAACATTATGAGGATGACGATGATGAAGATAAAATTGATGATAATAATAATTATTATAATAGTAACAATAATAATGATAATAATATTTCATAATAATAAAAGTAATTAAAAAAAAGAAAAATAAGAAGAAGAAATAGAAGAAGAAGAAGAAGAAGAAGAAGAAGAAGAAGAAGAAGAAGAAGTAGAAGAAGAAAGGAAGAAAAAGAAGAAGAAGAAGAAGAAGAAGAAGAAGAAGAAGGAGAAGTAGAAGACGAAACAGAAGAGGAAGAAGAAAAAAGGAGGAGAAGAAGGAGAAGGAAGAAGAAGAAGAAGAAAAAGAAGAAGAAGAAAAGGGAGAAGAAGAAAAGGGAGAAGAAGAAGAGGAAGGAGAAGAAGTGGAATAAAAGGGAGGAGAAGAAGGAAATGAAGAAACGAAGGAGAAGGAAGAGGAGGGGGAAGGAAAACAAGACTATTTTAATAGGTGTTTTTTTCAAGATGAAGGTGTCCAAAAATGATAAAGATACCTGCTTGAAAGATCACAACACAGTTATCTCAAGGACAATTTCAAGGCCCTATTGTAATTCGTATAATAAATACATGTTAAATATAAACTTGTAACAGGGTCGCAATAGAAATAGGGAATACAAATCATGTTCTGATTATGAAACATTGTTTTTTGTAATGCTCGCACCTTTCAAAATGTGGTGGACAAAGTCTTTTCAACGTGTTGTTCTATGCTTAAACGATAAATTACGTTTACAATTTGTCCATATGTTTCGTACATAGAAGGCTAACCCTTAATATATTCTAGCGATACAATAATAATGAAGATAAAAGTGTGTTCTTGTATAGTGCTCGTGTCTGTCAGATTTGACCCTTCTGGCTCTCCACAATTATTACCCCGGCTATGGCTTTCTAGTATATCAGATAATTGATTTCTGCCAGGTTCCCATTTACCTAATTCCCTGGGTGGAATGTGAAAAATTTTGATTAATGTCTTGCCAAAGGACACAAGTGCCGCGTCAGGTCTCAAATAAAGTTTATTAGATGTTAACATGCTCTTTACATATTCATTCTTAAATTATACATTTGCAAAGTTGTTCTCAAGAATCTTTGCAGAATCGTTTTCCTTTATTCGAATCGAGAACGATGCAGAGCTTTTATCCTCATGTTTGTCATCGAGAAAATAATGGGTTAATCAAATAATGATTTTGATTTTGATGAGGTGATGCCTTCGTGAAAACTATTATTTGTTCGAACACCGTCGATTCTGACTTTTACAAGAGCACCGGGGTTCTGAAGGCCAGTGTGCTCTTCATTAAAATGATCTTAAACATCAAATAATATGGCTATGCAACGGGAACACCATGATTTGAAAGTATAAATATATATGTCGTGGGGAAGGGATGGAAAGGGGCATATAACCCTCTCTAAAAGGCGTGCTTTAGAGAGGAAGTTATGGAAGAAAATGTACACACAAACAACAATAACAACCAACAGCACAAAATCAAACATTGCCAACACTCTTTGAGTAATGATTCGGGGCGAATGCCCTCCTCGTACTGACGTACTGGAGTGGAGATACCCCTCCCTCTTCCCATTTGGTGCAACACTAACTAATGACACTCATTCACGCATCAAGCTACAGTCGGACACATTCAAGTGTTGGAATAACTATTTACGGACCTCAAACCCTAGACAACATTGAAATGTGTTTCCATTAAAGGTGAAATTCAAAGAAGATCACACATATTTCACCTAATGCATCACTAGAAACTGGTAAGCTAAAAGATGGCCATCGTACAAGTATTAGGTCAACTACATATCGGGTGATTAAAAAAAAATACAAATACAACCACCTCCATAGCCGCTGGGATATACGAGAGATTCGCCGGAAAAATAACGATGTTTTAATGACGTCACTATATGGACCAACACTGCCCAAGCAGACGACATCCCATAGAGAATGAACATAATGGCAAAGCTATTATTTCTCAAATTATAATAAGTTTAGTGTATATAAATGTAATGGCATGTCAAGCAATTCAAAAAGGGATATGACCCGATTCTGATAACTAAAATCTTTTGCTTGTAAATACACAGGATAGGGGTTAATTAACAATCAAAGAAACCAGACTTTCAAATTGAAAAACCCCCGGAATGATATTAGGACGTCATTTGTTCCCTCTTGAAACGCCGAACATACCCCGGTGTGTGCAGCTGAATATACAATGGCGTCTTATTTTGTTTACAAGCGACAGATTCCTTTATTTTTGTATCGCTGCATTTTTCATCAAAATAAAACCATGCGCGGGGTTTATAGTGAGGCAATAGATTATACATTTAGCCTGACGGTAGTGAAGTAAGAGAAAGAACTCAAGAGAAGATGAAAAAACAGGCACTGAAAATGTGTGAGATGTCATGGGGCATCGTCTGCTTGTGCAAGTCATGTCCATACTGTGATCTCACACATCTCAGCAGCGTTCGGAGAGCTCTTCAGGTGCTATGCCGGGGCTGTATTTAAGCGTTTTGTAATTTATAATAATCATTACTTCGAATGTTTCCAAGCATTGAATTTTGATAACCTTGTCGAATCAAAGTTTCAACTTTGCAATAATGAAAATAAAGTTAGTTTTTAAAATCAATGAATATCTACTTTAACTTGTACTTCTTGCTCTGCGCGTTAAAAAACAATTACGAAGTCACTGACGCACCGACTCTTAAATAGAATCAACTCAAAGTTTTTTCTTCTCAAAAAGGCCATTTGAAGAAGGGCCCTACATGTACGTACATTTGTCATTAATATGCATTATAGTGTTGCATGAGTTTTGCGAGGAGTTTACTTTGTATAATTTTGCTTACGAAGGTGGTCATCATGACAGCAAATGACGCTGTCTTTGACGCAATGCGAGAGTGACACCGTACCACATAGATGCAAAATGCACAAAGTAACATTGCCACATTACTCTGATTTACTGGTGCATGTACTATTTGCCCTCATTGGCTTTGATTAGCGCAGATAATAACGCAAGCAAACGACGCCTCGTCATTATGAATAGTAGATGTAATAAAACCTGCCCCAACGGTATTTCAAGATGATGAGGTGTTTCTAGTGTATCAGTCAAGTCGGTTGGTCGATTGCTTAAACAAATGCCAGGGGTTCAACGAAGATACGCATTTCGCATTTTACATCCCACAACGCATACATTCTTCACCTGTTACCATGGTAATGGCAAATGCAAACCACGTGTCATAAAAATTACAATTTCCATACAGATCGCATCTTATCTCTTACTCCATCATTCCCCACTGTTCCTGTAATCCAAAACTTCAGATTTGTTTATATTTTTTACTAAAATAATGGTGAATATTCTTATGAACAAAATTAGAATGTAAAATTAATTATAATTCGGGTCTTTTAAAAAAAACCTTATTACTCACGTGTCTTTTCTTGTAAATATTTTATTCATTATCGACATTTTATATATATGTTATATTAATGCTGCATGATCTTTTGTATAGGTATGCACGGCCCTCGGAAGAACAGTCCTTGGGTTGAGGTAGGCACCCGTGCTTAAATAAAATGAATGAAATGAAATGAAATCATCAAGAAAGAAGAATAGAACAAAAATTCTCACAAGAAAAGGTGAGGACTAGTATAAAATTATTTTTCATTTGATTACACACAAGGGGGTAACTCATGCATTACTATGTCTCTCCATTTCTTGGTATTCTTTATAGCTGGCCTGTGGTAAATTGAGCGGATAAGTGCAATTTTGCTGATGGTTTTTGCGAAGTAAAAGTCAATTTATTTTGCCTTCGGGCCATGAAGCTGTGCTTGTGCGTGAGGCTGCATAATATTCCGGAAGGAGCGCCGGGTACGTCAACCTGAAGAACGAGGGCAATGGGTTATAGACAAGCAGGAAGGAAAGGTTTGTGTGGAACAGAAAGAAGGGGAGAAATAGAGAGAGAGAGAGAGAGAGAGAGAGAGAGAGAGAGAGAGAGAGAGAGAGAGAGGATTGATATAAAGGGTTTATGAGAGGGATTTGTATAATAGGCATATTCGCGGATAAAGACAAAGACATAATTACAGAGAGAGGGGGAAACACACACAGAGAAATTAACAAGGAATAGAAAAGGGAGGGGAAAGGTAGAAGAAAGAAAGATAGAGAGAGAGAGAGAGAGAGAGAGAGAGAGAGAGAGAGAGAGGGGGGGTGCATACAAAAACATAACGATCCACTAAAATAACAATCCGTAAGTAAATTTTCCTCGTCAATGTTTTGATGATCTGATCCAATTGAAACCTTCAGACCGTCAAGAAAATAACCACTTACAACATTTCAAAGACACAATTAGTTCAGCCCCTCTCTTATACCTCGCCCACAACGCCCCCAAATTATTCCGGGTCAAGTAGGCTTTAATGAAAATGATGAAAAGGAGGGGGAAACACTTTATTTCTTTTTTTCTTGTAGTGCTTGAATGGAGCGTGACAAGAAATTGATCAAGCTGACTGAACATTTTTTCTCTCTCCTTCAACAACTATTCCCCATTTGGTACTTAGCATCGAAATGGGAGCGCGTGGTGTGGTGATGGAAAGAGAGAGAGGGGGGCGCAAGGAGAGGGTGAGATGAGGGTGACGAAACGCCCGACATCTGGATGATGACATTTCAGTTGAGTTGCGACATTATTCTAGGGCGGTGATTCTCTTGAAATACATTCAATTGAAATGACATGCTCTGATGATGTGTATGCACAGTGATCATCCCCTGGCAACGTGATTTCCAGTCCCTTGAAACTCTCAATCACTTGCACAATTGATATATTTTACTAACACAGACCTTGGACAACCACACAAATCATAGTTGGAGTGCTTTCGTCAATATGGTATTGTAAAATTCTAAAAAAACATAATTTAATCATATCATGCTTTCATACTTGATACCCGTATGAGAGGCCACGTGACAATGTTTGCCGAGATCAATTTGTATATGACTCTCCAAACCTAATACATGTAGGCCTTCAACAAAATGATAAATTCATAGAAATAATAAAGATAGAAGTCCCAGGGATTTGAAAAATCTGAACACATAACGTCGATTCGAAAGGAAAAAGAAGGAAAAAGAAAGAAAAAGAACAGTAATTGTTATTATTTCGGAGGGGGAGGGAGGGAGAGGGGGCTAATCCAATAATGCCCCTCAAAGGTAAAGGGCAGTTCTCATTTATGGGGATTTTCTAGTTAAACCGGTAGCTCACAAGACCCATTAAATACGATATCAAAACGCTCGGGGCCTTCTGACGGCCATTGTAACATTCACAAGAGCACCAATTTTACTAGATAATCACCTCGGTGTCAATGCCCATCGGTTTCTTGGACCTCCGGTTAAATGGATAGCCACCATGCAACATTATTAGTCTACATATTGATCATTAGTCAAGAGTTGAAGGTGTCATTCTAATTATACTCTTTATTACCTACACGTCTTCCCGATGTAGATGCAGTATTGCTATCACAGAAATCCAATATATCCACTCTTAATTAGATCATTAATCTTCCTATATATAGCTACGTCACATCATTAACAGTATAGCTGCAAAAGAAAGGGAACATAAATCAGCGCACTAATTAATAAAATCATTCCTCGGACGCCTGTCCGGCTTCTGCCCGCTGGAGGTGCGTGATTCGTTACGAGTGTGATGGCTGGCTAATCTTTTATGCAATCTTATTGACCTGAATTATCTATATATAATGAGAGGGAGTAATGACGAAGATTAATGAACCGATGATGAGACTTGGATCACCGTCCGGTCGAACACGAATCCATGTATAATGACCTTATTTTAGTCCCTAATTTGTCTCTTTATACCTCTGTGTCTGTCTGTCTGTCTCCCCCTCTTTCTCTGTCTTTCTCTCCCTCCCCTCTGTCTCTGTCTCTGTCTTTCCCTGTCTCTCTCTCTCTCTGTCTCTGTCTCTCTGTCTCTCACTCCTACATCCATCTATTCCTTACACGTACGCATTTCCATCAACCAAGGCAAGAAATTGTTTTGACAAAGGAGTATAAATCAGGAGAAGTTTGTTTAGATCTCCTCGCGGTCTTTAAATTCTAGACACTGATCAAAACAAACAACCCCTCCATAACGAAATGATGATAAAGTTAAAGAATGGCTAGAGCAAGCAGAATATCATAATATCATCCTGTATTTAAAGACTATCATTGTCCTTGCAAGTAAATAATTAAATGCAGGGAAAAGGTGAGCTGATATCGGTTATTACTAAAACACAAATTAAATATATAATTAAAACCAAGTATACTGTATAGGCCCATCAATAAATGAATAATTGTGAATAAACTCATTATACTAAAAAATCCATATACCAATAAAAAGATAGATATATATTTACTTTTAATCGATCAACATTAAACTATTTTTTTTCTATGAAGCTTGAAATGTTTTTTTTCGTTGTAATTAATTCTATTTTTCATAAAATTGTAATTGAATTGGGAAAATGTGGGCGGCTAATCACATTTATCTGACATTAGATATTTCAACATATAACAAAGGGGGAATTTAAAATTATTCATTAAATGAAAATGGAAACTAATTTTACGATGGCATTAATTTGTTTTCCTTATTTAGTTCAAATATTATGCCAGTTTTATCGGTGAAATTTGAAATTTTGCGCTCCACACTACCGACAGGCCTAAATCCACCCACGTAATTTGACAAAAGTTTGTATGATTTGTGCTAATATCATGCAATGGTTTTGGGTCAGCATATCCATGATCAAAGCTGGGATGAAAAGATAGTGTCAAATATTCTATTTTTAAAAGATAAAAGAGGATTAAAGGCAATGCACTACAGGTGTATACCATGAAGCAAAGATAATAAGTTGTTTTTATCGTGATCTGTTTCGTGGGCGGCTGGAAAATATAGCCCTCTTATTACTTTCTGCTTCTTTTAGCAACCCAGGCGAAAGTTACAGTGTGATACAGCAACACAAAGTGGTCTAATTTAAAGGTTAATTTTGCAGTGGTGTATATCTGTTTGGCGAAGACGTTGCAGACTCTCTCACCCGTTAACACGCCCTTTGCAATCAGATGTCGTGTGCGAGGATGGGTCGGTTATCAAAATAAACATGACATGGTGAGAGGAAGGAGAGGGGAGGGAAGGGAAGGGAGGAGGGGTAGGGAGGGAGAAGGGGATGGAAAGGGTAGGTAGGGAGGTAGGGAGGGGAGAGAGGTAGGGAGGAGGAGGGTTGGAGAGGGAGAAATGGAGGGAGGGGCGAAGGAAGGAGAGAGAGAGAGAGAGAGAGAGAGAGAGAGAGAGACTGTGGATGGGAATGTTGGGATGTTGCAGACCCCAAAATGTAAAATTAGTTAGAAGTGAATGCCGTGTGGGGGTAAGAGCGAAATGTTACAGGGCATCAACCGTCGTGTAACAACAAACCGCAAATGTCATTTGCCTAGCTGTATTTATCATCGAGATCGATGGCATTCACAGACTGTGTAAGCTAACTCTGATTTATGAGGCGACAAAGTGTCAAATAACCTGTACATGCCCTATGCTGTCTCTCTACTGTTCGGAAAATGCATAAAATGGACGCAATGAAACCTGCTTTAAATTCCTCCTACTAATACAATCGACATATTTTCGGGTGAATTATCGATAGAACCCGTTCCCTCAAAGAACAATGAAACACCCTTGCAATCAGGTATCTTTTGTATGGGCGTCGGTTACACAATAAAAGATGTTGTATTGCCCTTTACGACCGACCCTAAAATCTTGAGATTTTTTTATTTTTGTTACCGTTTTTTTTTTTTAAGCATTCAAAATTGAGAAATATCAGCCTAAAGAGGGGGGGGGGGGAGGAGAAGATTTCCGACCGACCGACCCATGCTCTGGCACCTAAAGAGCAATACATCTTTTGGGGCCTTATCAAAACCAAACATGGCTTGGTGCAGGGGAAGGAGGATACATAGGAGAGGTTAGAGACCGCAAACCTTATCTCCCTTAGATGTGAACACATTGCGTACATGATACGTTACGAGAAAATAGCATACCGCAGTAACCATCTTGTTACGACAAACCTCAAATCTCAATGATGATAGTACAGCTAGGGTTAAGGGTGACACTGGTGTTATAGAGGAGACTGAAAGTGTTAAAGTGATTATTATAATAATGATGATAATAATAATAAGAACAAGAACAACTTTAATATCAATAATAAATTTAATATTAATAATAGTGATAATTACACCAATACTAAAAATAATAATAATAAGAAGAAGAAGCAGAAGAAAGATGAGAAGAAAACAAAAAGCATCATCATCATCATCATCATCATCATCATCATCATCATCATCATCTTCATTTTTATTATTACTGTTATTATTAATTATTAGTATTATTATTAGTAGTAGTAGTAGTAGTGTTATTATTGTCAATATCATTTTAACTTACACTTCAAAATGCCTCATAGTAAAATGTGTTAATGTGTAAAAATAATACCAATCCATGCTTTCTCTCTCTCTCTCTCTCTCTCTCTCTCTTTGTCTCAATTCCTATATCTTTCTCTTTCTGACTCCTTTACTCCTTGACCTTTCTCGCTTTTCGCCCTGTAGCCTTTTCCTCCTCATTTCCACCCTCTTCCTATCTCTTTGTCTCACTCTTCCCCTCACTTATCTTTCTCTAATATCTCCTCGTTCTCTTCCCGCCAAAGATCAATCCTGTAGCCTTCGCGCTCCTGTTGTTCCATCGTGACCTCGATCTTTAACTCAACATCGCGCTCTCTTCGGGATTAAGCCCCGTTTATACACGACGCTTTTAGTCCAACACGATTATGGTTTTATCCCGGCATTCAACCTCTTTCACACATGGCAAGGTTAACCGTCTAAAAAAAAAACCTCCAAGGCGAAAATATGCAAATATGTTTGGTACAATGATAGGATGTGGGGTGACAAGAACAAAGGGCCTCTATACGTACTCGCCAAAGATCTTACACCATGCATGCTTATAACATATTTTCAATTTTACTTTTTTTAAATTTCATTACATTTTGGGGAAGTGGTTTGAATATTTTCTCATGTGTAAACGAAACTTCACTATCTCTCTCTCTCCCCTCTCTTCTCTCTCTCTCTCTCTCTCTCTCTCTCTCTCTTTGCGGATCTGATAAGGTTAAATGTTTTAGATAGGGTTAGGGTTAGTGTTATATATAGATTTTGGTTATGTACTGAAATTAAGAATTCGACTACAGTAAATTGATCACGAAGCAAATTGTCGCTGGAGGATTATCCCCCTCAATCCCCTTGTTTTTTCTCGCTCTCTCTCTCTCTCTCTCTCTCTCTCTCGCTAACGAACTTCTTTGTTTAAACTGAACTACTTACGTGACCTATAAACTTACATCATTTGTTTTGAAGAGGCTATTCAAGAAACACTCCTTGTCGGATAATCAGATGCAACGGAAATGGATAGCACTTAGGCCTACATTGGAAAATCGAATCAAAATCAAAATCAAAACAAAAATAATCACGATATGAAAACTGACTTGGGTCTAGAGCTAAAATAAGGAATTCAAAGAGTGTTAGCTAATACTGCGGAGCAAATTGCCGACGGCGCACAATTTCGTATACCTCGTTCCTTCCCCTTCCTCCCCTCTCTCTCTCTCTTTTACGAAATTCTTTGTTTATATTAAATAACACTATGGCCTAGACACTTACATCATTTGTTGTAAAAAAACAAGAGGGAAAAAAGAGAAAGATGTGCCAGAAACACTCATTTTCATATAATCAGATGCGACGGAAATGGATAGCACTTCTAATGGAAAAACTAATCAAAATCAAAACACTCTTCAAACAAAAATCACAAAAATCACTATTACTGCGTCATGCAGTGCTTGAGAAACCAGTGTTTCTCGTCATTCTCGGCTGTTGGAGTAAGTTATCGTAACGGCTGGCGAAAATAGCTTGAATTGCTTGACAAACAGTGTGAACAAAATAAAAATAATGTAACCTAGAAAATGTCGTAATGCATATTGATTATCACGAACCATGGCAGGCCAAGGCATAGGTGCCTTACATGTAATGATGGTGTAGCAATGGTTGTACTCCGAAAGAGTCGGAGGTTGAAACAGAGAGAGAGAGAAAGAAAAGAGAGAGAGAGAGAGAGAGAGAGAGAGAGAGAGAAAGAGAGAGAGAGAGAGAGAGAGAGGGGGGGGGGGGGGAGAGGGGGGGGGGAGAGATGGGAGAGAAAGAGGGGAAGACAGGTAGAGATCGGAAGAAGTGATGTAGAGAGGCTGATAACGAAGATAGAAGAAGATGAAATAGAGGGTTCATGGGATGGGAGACAAAAAGAGGGAGAGGAAGAGATGGGATGAGAGGAAGAGAGAAAAAGTAAAAGAGAGAAAGAGAGAGATAGAGAGAGAGAGAGAGAGAGAGAGAGAGAGAGAGAGGTTGGGAGGGAGAAATTGGAGAGAGGTGAGGCAGATAGAGTTAGAGGGATATAGAATGACACGAGTGGAGAAAGAAAGGGGTGTAAAACTGATTATAAAGAGTATAATTTACATACAAATTACATGTACTAGGTGTTTTTTTAGAAGGGGCAGTACGAAAAAAGTGCTACATACATTGTAGCCGATACAACCACCCCATTATAAATCATAATCAGTTCTAAATTGAAAACGGCACATTTCACAACGCCAACACCCAATCATAATAAGTCTCTAACTAGGAAAATAGCAGTGGGCGATTTCTACCAAGAAAAGCCTTCTCTATATAGTTTAGATAATCTTTGATTCTTAATTACAAATCTAGGAATTCATCAATCATGGGGCGGAATTCTTTCAAGCCCAGGGAGGGGAGGGAAGTAATGTAGAAAAATCTACAATTGCCCTGCAGGTTTTGAACGATCTTATAAAATAAACTACGTCAAATACATGAATAAAGTGAATAAATATACATGTACATATTCAACATGATGTAAACCAACTGAAAGTTGTACAGTTTTTCAACTTAGGCCTTCGATAAAAAAGAGGGTGTAACCCGATTTCATTTTGGCCCGAATCTGCCTCTGGATTCTGACCACAAACTTCATTAATACCAAATGAACAGACCTTTTATGTATAACAGCAATGACGCATGCGGAACCCCTCTCCAGACCAAGTTAACAAAGTACCGGGTGTGCTTCTAGACTTTGGTATTAAATAGAGAGCTTTAATGTTCACTTGGTGAATCCGCCATTACGGAAATTAAAGTTTGGTAAGTAGAGCTGATGAAAGTCCACCATGACCAGCCGAATCGCACCCATTAATAGATTAATATTGACTTTACATGTGGTCCGACAATAATGGCTTGTGATAGAAGAGATTACTGAACCGCTGTCCAATAAACTGTTCTTAGAATCTTCCTTTACACATTTACGAAACTAATAAGTGAGGCCGACATGGGTTTTTTGGGGTTCCTCTAGCAATTTGTTTTTCTTCAAATTTATGTTATACACAAATATCACAATTACGACCGACTTCCAATTAAGTTCCATTGTACTAATGAATTGAACAAATTTTCATTTTCAAACAAAGCTATTTATTGGCTATGGCATTCTATAGAATTGAATTTAGTGCAGTTACCGACTGAACTTTGAATTCTTCTTAATCAAGTGTCAGACTCAGATTTAAACAGTGGCTCAAGCAGTCTTTGAAAGCATTGAAGTCTTTAGAGTTTAACGCCCTTTTCTCGCTCTCAAAGGGGACATTTATAAACGAGCGAAAGTTTGACGAGTAAGACAGTTTACAATGAAATGCATCTTTAACAGGGCATCAGGTTGCTACTTTGGCGGATAAAACTGTATAATACGACTTGAACACTTGTCTTATGCAACAGTTATCCACGGGCTATTAGACACGTGTCAGAAAGTGGAGGGTCTACAGGAGTGACAGATAATGCGCTATCTTCCCTAAAGTTGTCAACAAGAGGCCTTTGGCCTTATCCGTTATTAACAAGTTAAATGTCAATGAAAATAATGCTAAAGCTAGTCATGCGTTCGAGGGAACCGGCTCAATATAATCAGAGTTGCCATCTATACCAAATCGGCAAAATATTAATGTATTGACAAACAAACAGATAATACTACGACGAAACAGTATGTAATGACTTTCGTTAAAGAGCACAGCAGTCACCCATAACGTCGTGTTAAACAGGTGGTGGCAACTTGATCGATTTCTTTGTGTTTCTTTGCTCAATACTCTATCATACATTTTCTACGACAACGTTTTCTCGGAAATCATTTTGCCCGACTATTGAACATTCATTGTAATCATCATCCATAATCATTTTCTGATAATTTATTCTCGTCCTTACCTGAACACAATTACCTTTGAGCTCATTATGCCCCTGATCTTATTTAGTAATCTAACCGAATGACTATACACTTTAAACAGGTAACAAAATAAATGATTTTCATATTAGATAGTCCTTAGAACAGAATCTTAGAACCTAAAGACTTCCGGGTGAAATAATTTATTGATTTTGAGAGAGAAAACGTAATACATTTAATTCAATATAAAAATTCTGTATCGTAGGGGCAATTCGCTCATCCTTGTGTGTGGATTTTGTTGGGCATTTATACGTGCATTTGTAATCAACCTTCTAGAGTCTAGAGCGTCCGAGAAACATCATGCTCCTGATTACATGTCGAGCCTAATATCGGCATGTTTGATATATGACTCCTATCTTAATATTGATTAATCCCTCATAATATTTTTCCTTTCTCGTTCTCTTTATCTCTCTCTCTCCCTCTCCCTCTCTCTCTCTCTCTCTCTTCCTGTTGGTTTATTCTATGATTTTACCCGGTAATAGAAAATACTCGTTCCCCTTTCCATTTCTCTCCCCCCCCCCCAATTTCTCTCTCTCTCTCTCTCTCCCCCCCCCCCCCCTTCCTTTCAGTTTATCTTCCATCAGCCAAGGCTTTTTGCCCTCGTATTAAAAGCTGCTCGTTTTCCTCCATCTATCCCATTACAATGTTTCCCAAGAGAATACCTTTGTCCCTGCTTCGTCTGCTAGCCTCGGATCGCTTTCCATTCAGTATATCAACCGCCATTTTGTTTAAACTCCGTGATTAATATAAGTTCAACATTCCGACAATCGTTCTTAAGTTTGCTCTTTTTGTCGGAAAGGGAACGCCATGCTTTCGGAAATACACCTCTCCTAAACGCCAAAACGTAAAGGAATATTTTTTAAATGCTATCTTTCTTCTACTCCAAGTAGAGTAAACGAAAAATTGTTGACATGAACTGATCTAATATAATTAAAACATGGCATTTTACGTGCGAATATTTAGCTAATGGATCTACTTTGTAAATTTTGTATAATTGTAGAGGTGTCGCGGTCTAATGGACACGTCACCGAATTGTGGATCCCATGGTTCGGGGTTCGAGTCCCGCCGCGGCACTAATGTCTTTTTGGCAAGACATTACTCAACATTTGCTACTCTCCACCCAGGTGAAGTAAATAGGTGCCCGGTAGGAAGAAATTCCTTGAATGCTTTAGCGCCTTATCATGGCGGCTCAGCTACAGCCGGGAAATAATATGATACTTTGTATCAATCGAAGTATAGTACATGCATATTCACATAGAGTTGCGCAATATAAACAACCCTATTGTTATCATGATTATTATTATTGTAACAAAAAGGATGAATTACCTACCCTCTGGTCATCATAGACCTTCCTAGAGGTAGGCACTGTGGTGCAATAAGTTCATTCATTTGACTTTTAATCAACATTTTAAGGGTTCAAATCCCAACTTGCCACTTGAAGCTTTTGACATCCATCTCCTCATCATCACCATCATTTTGAGATGTATTCGCAATAATGCACGCGTTTTTAGTTTACACAGTGCCTTTAATCTTACAAAATGGCTTCCTGAGATAAGGGGTTTGGGGCCTTATTTTTCTTTGCTTCCCTTAAGTGGATCTACTTATCCCACGTCCCTCCATCTCTTGACATTAAGATCAGCCTTCTGTAACCCTGAGGGGGTACTCTTCGTTTACTTGAAAAGTAATTGGAGCGTCCACGTGATCGCGTTAATTAAGTCGTGTAGTCTACATAATAGATCGTGCAGCTGATTTCTTCATTTTATGGAGCACAATACATGACAATCTGCTATTCTGGAAAGGGATGATTTGGCGAGAATTAACAAAACAAAGAAATGATTGTCGTTTACGATCGCCTTGATATAGAGTCTTCATCCACATTCATACTGAGGCTCGAGCCAATCAGATGTCGTAAAAATAAAAATGCAAATAATGTAAAGCATATAAAAATAAAAGGCAGAGCATTTGATTGATTGTCGATGTAAAAAAAAATTTACTTACTAAGTATGACAAATAGCTCTATATAAATAGTCAACTAGTCATAAAACCTTTTCATCATAATTTAGTTCCACTGAATACCAAATACTGTCTCATAGTAAAGAGTCAAAATATAATACATTCCCCCAGTGAATAGCGTGAATGAAATCGAAATACAGCGCCTGAAATAGAAGCTACCACTCCTCTCACCATCGCTCCAGGAAAGCGGTCGATCAACACTTGTTGCTTTAATATTGAGTATGTTTGGAAGCAATCGGAGAGAAACGGAGGTAATTAAACAAATATTCTCCTTCGGGGGAATTAA